GTTCACAATTAAAATTGGGGAAGAGGCGCTTTTGTGGGTCTTAAAAGGATGGTTAATAGCAGTAGAAAAGGATTTCACAGTAACCCTAACCAAATTGGGTTAATAAACACAAATGGGCTAACATAAGTAACCATTTTGCGTTCAAGGCCTCAATTTCAACAGATCCCATATTAAATTCAGCCGATTGTATTGTTGCAGTCATATATGAGGGGTTTAGACGATTGGCTTTCATTAGACTTGGTAAAGAGAGAACATGGATTTATGCCGATGGAAGGCATACTTTGATTGAAGAAGTTGTTTTTGTTGAAGACAAATGTTATGCTGTTGATAACTGGAGCAGATTGTTATCTTTTGATGTTACTACTCGCTCTAACCCAAATGTAAAAGTGGTTGGAAAGGGCATGAAACGAACAGGTAATACCACAAGATATCTTGTGGCTTTAAATGAGGGAAAATTTTTGATGGTTCACAGAACATATTATTTTGATTATGAGCGTAACAAACGTGCGACAGGGAAAATCAAAGTTTTTGAATTGGATTTGAAAGAGTGTAAGTGGATTGAGAAAGACACTTTAGGTGGTATTTCTCTTTTTGTGGGTGATAACTCTACAATATATATGTTGGCTTCAGAGCTTTCAGGATGGCAGTCGAATTGCATATACTTGAACCATGATAATGATTTTGCGAGCATTGATTTAGGACCAAATCAACCCTGTGTACCTCATGATTATGGCGTGTATAACGTCGAGACACAAAGCTTTTCAAATTCGTATAGCGCACAGGTTAAGACCCAGATGAAGAAGGCCCATAAACCAACAATATGGATCGTGCCACCGTCTCAATTGTAAAAAGCTGCTTGTATTTTTTCTTAATCTATTCTTACTTTATTGTCACTTAAGGATATTTGGTATTCTCACTATTTGATATTATTGGTATTTTATGTTTGTCGTAATTCTGTTTGATTGGGTTTTGTTTAATGCACAGATTCCAATTATGCATTTGATTATTCATTGAATATGTTTAGTTCTTCTGACCATCTATGTATTTGAATGCTTCAGTGTGAATTGCCTACTTATGTAACAACCCAAAATGTGAAGGATATTGTCAGCCAAGAATCTCATAAAGCAAACAAGACCAAAAAGAAATTTGCTATTATAAGGTAGAGGTTATTTTAATGTCACTAGTTAATATATTTGCATACAGGACAATGGCATTATAGGTGTGGTTAGTTACAGGACATTGGCATGCTAATATCCCAAGCAGGTCCTATGGTCATAAGTTTCAGACAATGTAATATAATCTGGCAAATGCCCCAACTCTAGACTAAGGCCCAAAAATTAACACAAAAAATATGAATCATAGTCACGTCTAGAAAACACACAATATATGAACACAAGGTTTGAAATAATAAACAACAAGTTTTGCACGATATGCTACTATAAATAAAAGAGATATTTAGTGATATATCCATTCGTAGCACTAATATTATAAATAAACCCTACACAATTGAATTTCTATAAACATACCCAAAAAAAAATCCAAAAAATGACAGCTGGCCTTATTAAATTTAATATTGATTATTAAATTATTTTGATGCCCTATTGAGTGTTTTGGGTATTTTTATGAGATTTTGGGGTTGGGCTTGTTTTAAGAAATTGATGGCAGTTTTGTAATTTATAAGAAGTTAAAAGCTTTTTTGTTATGTTGTAAATGGACTTTGGGTGTGTTTCTAAAGTCCATTTCATATGAGGTATTTTTATAATTTGGGCCTTTATATTGGGTATAATAGTGAATCTCCCAAAATAAAATTCGTGATGCTCCTTGGGATTGGGTGTTAGAGCAAAATATTAATTTTTATTCTTTCTTGCACTAGATAGGTACAAATAATACTAGGAACTTTTTTTATTAAGTTAGATATCATAACTTAGGTAAGGTATTGGAGTAAGTACACTATCATTTTCTTTGTTCTGTTATAATGGCTAACCAGAAGAGTGACGAACCCACCAATAATAACTTAGGTAAGATATTGCTTGCTGCTCAGTTTAATTCTTACTGACTTTTATTTTTCTTTTATATTTTCATGCAATTTTTCCAACTTTCTTGTCATCCAAACACGAGTCCAAGCCCGATCTTTTATTTTTCTTTCTTTTTTTCTCTACCAAAATACGGCTTTCTTTTTCTTCTTTGTCCTATTCCATTTATGATATGCTTGCACCCCAAACAAACAAAACCCACTCGCCCAAACACTCAACACCCAACACCCAACACCCACCACCAATATCTCGCATCCCAAACGGCACCGCCTATGCACACCTCACCACCACCACCATCTTTCTCACTCATTCGCCCGTAAAAACCTTTCCTTTTTCATTAATTGCATCATATATGTATGCTGGTGCAACCAGCAATTTGTGAATGGAAGAGAACCCAACCCAAATTAAAGCAAGAACTTCCATTGAAATGTCAAGTACTCACCATGCAAAGCGTAGCCATGAATTAATATGCTCTTTGCTATTCCAAACTGAATATATATATATATATATATATATATAGCATAATAATCTTTATGCTCTCAAAACGTGGAGTACAAGAAGATGAATAGGAGTATCGATAGAGCTAGCTCAAATTAATACATTGTTGCTACTTGAGAGAGAAACGTACGTATCTATATCTTTAATCAAAAACCTTAAGCCCACACCACCATACCAAACAAAAATCATCCAACTTTCTCGCCATCCAAACACGAGTCAAGACTACTCTTCCTTTTTTCGCTACCTAAATACGGCTTTCTTTTTTCTTCTTTGTTCTATTCCCTTTATGATATGCTAGCACCTCAAACAAACAAAACCCACGCACCCAAACACTCAACACTCAACACCCAACACCCAACACCCACCACCCACCACCCACCAATATCGTGCTCTCACTGGCACCGCCTACCTCCCACCTCACCACCACCATCGCCATGGATGTCCACCTTATCCATCACCACCATCTTTCTCACTCATTTGCCCGTAAAAATGTTCATTTTTCATTAATTACATCATATATGTATGCTGGGTTGGCAGTTATATATTGAACATTATGCAACCAGCAATTTGCTAATGGAAGAGACTAAATATATAACACAATAATCTTTATGCTCTCAAAACATGAAGTGCAAGAAGAGAAAGAGGAGTATCGATAGAGCTAGCTCAAGTACATTGTTGCTACTTGACATGAAGTATGTACGACCACAACCAACTCAAACAAATTAATGTGTGACCCTTGTCGAATCTAAATTAATGTAAATGGCCCAACTATAGACTATGGCCTAAATTGGCTTCAAAATCTTGGCTTTCCTTTGGGCCTTTTGTTTACCCCTTTCTACATCGAAGCCCAACAAATCAGATGGTAATAATATTTATTTATTAAAAAAAAAGTCAGTTATAAAAAGAAAATTAAACCTACTGAACTCTACCTACCTAACCCTTAAACCCCTTCTAAATCATAGGTCATGTTCAGTGAGTTGAATTATGTAATTGGATAGGATTTATAGGATAAAACTTTGTTAAGGTAAGGGAGGAGTTGGTCTTTGTCAGATTGTGCAAACCAGTATCGAATGCTCAAATTGATTAGGTTTTTGGCAATTTTAGTGATGAAGACATGGATGGATTGCATGTGGCTGCACCATGTATATATATAGGTGGCTGCACCATGTATATATATAGGTGGCTGCACCATGCGTATTTATCTAATGTTGGCTTAATTCATTATTTGGTTTCACATATATATATATATATATATATATCTATATATAGGTGGGTTGTTGGTTAGGCAGTTTTATTATGTCTTGTGATTGTTTAGAGATAAAAAGGGGAACGTTGATTGATTGAATTGAACACACACCAATATGAATATTGGAATAAGATCGATTAAAAACCTCTAACAAACCATCGTTTTAGTATTCCACTGTTCTTTTATTGATTTGCTAGTGCTTATAAACTACTCACACCATGTTGTTTCATCAATAAATAACCTTATCCAACGATCTAAATTACAGTCCATGTCAAGGTCAAACACAGTAAATTAGACCCAGCGATCATGATCCTGATCCTTAGGTGAGAAAGTACAAAGGTGCCAAAGACTAGTTTTGATTTTTGACAAGATCTTGTGGCATCAAATGCTATCAGAAAGAAGTGAAAAGTCATCAAATCCTTGGGTGAGAAAACTATACCCTTCTCCAATCCTTAATCAAGGTTTCCTGGGAGCTTTTTTGCACCTGAGCATCTCCCAGTTTCTCAGTGACAACCCACTCATTTACTCTCCCTGCTTTAAAAGAAGTATAAATGTTGCCTTAGTCCGGTGTTCTCAAAGAGGATCCAGAAAAGCAATAGGTGGAGTAAAGCAATGAAGCAGTAAATAAGTAGAATACAGAGGAAAACATTTGCATTATCTGTCAATGCAGGGCTAGAAGTTCCGCAGGTTTGCTAAAGCTTATAATAGGTTGAAACAACAAACCTATTCAGGAACCAAAACCGTTGCTGGTAAAATGACACAGTACAACAAGACAAATGTAACAAGTTTCATCTGAAAGTGGAAGGGGCTTCCCATACACTCGAGCAAGATCAAACCCACCATCATGAGGTGGGTTTGTCACATGAAGTTTTGTTTTTCTTTCGAATTTTGATAAATGTTTTTCGTAAACATACAAAAACCAAAATTCAAAATACTAGGGGTATCTTTTGTAGTAGTCCTAGATCAAAATATCTTATTGTGGACCCTCCTTTTCCCCTTTCTTTATTAGAAGTTCTAGTGTAGAAAATGACCAATCATGTTCTATTCTAATAGGGTCCACTTCCAAGATTATTGGGAAACTTAAACCTCAATTTATAGTCCACTTCCATCTAAAATCTACATGATCATTCTCTCACACACCCACACCACACACTTATGGACTCAAAATGCATGACCTCCTTCCATCCCAGAAGAAGCCACAAAAACCCAAACAGAAATCAATCATGGGCAAGAAGTATTCACCAAAACAACCGAAGTGATTTCATACATATACAACTCAAGATGTATGATGGATATGTGATGAAATTTCCATTGATTCTCTTCTTCTTCTTTATACAGCTCCATTCCCTTCCTTTCAAATGTTTTGCTTTAAAATATATGTTGTCTTTCTCTTATCAGTAGCAGTAGCAGTAGCAGGAGCAGTAGCAAGAGCAGCTGCAGCTACCATGTTTGTTCCTCTCACCAACAGTTGCAGCAGCACAAGCCATTGCTTGCTCAAAAGGCTTCTGCAAAGAAGGCAAAGACAGGTCCTGTCAAGGAGCCCAGGAAAAAAGGAACTATTGCTGGGGCAATTGCTTTGATCATTGGTACTAGTATAGGCTCAGGGATCCTTGCACTCCCAGAAAAAGCATCTCCAGCAGTAATTACCTCTCTCTCAGCTGCTTTCACTTCTTAGATGTTTCTAATGACAAAAATTAAATAAGCAATCCCCCCCTAATTTTTGATTATTTCTTTACATCATGGTAGGGATTGCTTCCAAGTTCAATATCCATAGTGGTATGTTGGGGGTTTCTCCTAATTGACGCCCTTTTGCTTGTTGAAATCAATGTGAGCATGAGGAGGAAGCAGGGGAAGGAAGACAGAGAGAATGAATTGGAGGTCATTTCCATTAGGACTATGGCACAAGAGACTCTAGGAGATTGGGGTGGAACTTTAGTCACTGTGATTTATATTTTCTTGGGCTATACTTCAGTCATTGCTTATAGTTCCAAGTCTGGAGAGATCCTCTTCCATTTGATCAATCTCCCAGCTCCAGTTTCAGGCTTCTTTTTTACTTCACTTTTTACTCTGCTCATTGCCATAGGCGGGACTCGAGCTACTGATCAAGTTAACCAACTGCTCACTGCTTCCATGATAGGTACCATTTCCTAAACTATTTTCGAGATTTTATTGTAACTCTGCACAACACATTTGACAATCATAAGTCACATGATTGTGTTACTTTATGTACTTTTTCAACCTTGGAAATTGATGTGAAAAGTCAGGATTGACATTGGAAAACATTTCTTGCATAGTTTTAGAGGGATAATGCGGCAGGTTTTCTCAGCAGGGCCGTATCAAGTCTCAAACTGTACAAAAATTTGATTCACAGGTTTACTACTAGCAATAGAGGTGCTGGCAGTTATGATTGGAGGATGGTCAGGACTAGAGGGAACTGGAGACTGGGGCAAAGTGCCGGCTACAATACCTGTGATAATCTTTTCTTTGGTGTATCATGACCTTGCACCTGGTAAAGGAGTGCATTATTTGATGAATTAAACTTGCCCTTCTTGAGCAGTATAGACAATTTGGAACCTCCAATGTCATATTATATTTGACTCTCTTTGCAGTTCTTTGTGCTTATTTGGGCGGTGATCTCACACGCTTAAGGATTTCAGTATTTCTTGGTAGTCTTGTTCCATTGCTAGCATTGCTTGTTTGGGATGCAATTGCACTTGGCCTCTCTGCCCATGCTGATCAAGTTGTTGACCCTGTTGAATTGCTTATGAGGTAACCCAATATCTGCAGACTGAGTCAATTGAACATAGTTCTATTCATGGAAACATGATCATGTTTTGACACAACTTGGTTTAGGGTGAGATGGAGTGGGGTTTCATATATGGTAGAAGTTTTCTCACTCCTTGCAGTTGGAACATCACTAATTGGGACCCTTCTAGGCTTCTCGGAATTTTTCAAGGAACAACTTAATAACCTATCATGGAATTCTCCCCTCACACAAACACTCCAGGTAGCTTTGATGTTAATGCAGCTTTCCTTTCCTAGCACACACGAAAGTCAACTTCACAATCTCCTCCTAGCAATTAGCTTTCCTGCTGTAAATCAAATTGTCTTCATGTCTATATTATTTCCTACCTTAAGTAGACTTCCTATATTTGTATAAATAGGGACTTTGTGTAATTGTGTAATACAAGGAAATATATTCTCTATATTTCAAGTCTCCACCTAATTCACAGGTTGAAGCATGTCTCTAGGAATAGCACACTAACTTATATGCTGCTCAACCCTAGCAGAAACCAAACATCTCCGTTGAGCTGAGAAAATGGTGGGGAAGGAATAAAGTTAGCTTCACAGCAGTGGCAATGGTTGTTGGTCCATCTCTTATCGTGTCAACTAGCGTTCCAGATGCATTCTCCTCTGCCACAGACATTGCTGTAAGTATAAAGGAGGAGGGATTAACAGTTGAACCACTTGTAGAGAAAATTAAGCAGACAATAGCTTATAATAATGCAAACCTTAAATGCTAGGTTTTTCTTTTCTGTTTGACTGACTTTTATGTGGACTAGGGAGGCTACTGTATGACAATGCTATATGGAGTTCTGCCACCAGCAATGGCTTGGGCAATGCACAATAATGAACGTGAAAATGGTGAGCAAAAGACTTTATCAAGAGCAAGGCCTGTACTTCTTGGGGTAGGACTATTCGCTTTCGCAATAGTGGCCGAGCAAATCCTGCAAGATATCCTCACATTTCGTTCCTAGCAGGGACATAGACTTCAACAACAACATGATTCTTTAGATTCATGAGGCCTTATGGATCTATTATTCAGCTAGCTAGACCCAATACCAAATTGTAGCTAACTAAAATTTAAGGATATCGTGTAATCAATAGCTTTCTTACAATTCATGTAGCTATCAACTTTTGAACAGAGAAACTGGAAATTGCAAGTAAAGTAGGGAGAATTAAGTTTGGTTCTTGTCGTTTAGATTGTTATTCATTTTGGTTTCTATAGATTCATTTCTGTTAATGATATCATGATTGTAATTAAATCCAATAAGGATTTCTGTCAGATTAATTTGCCTACTTATGTAACAACCCAAAATGTGAAGGATATTGTCAGCCAAGAATCTCATAAAGCAAACAAGACCGAAAAGAAATTTGCTATTATAAGGTAGAGGTTATTTTATTGTCACCAGTTAATACCTTTTTCATTCGACCAAAAACAAAAACATATCTTTTTCATCATTATGTGAGATATCTCTACAGACCCGAGAAGCAATTAACGCTTTCCTCCTAGTCTTCTTTAACCACTGCACACAATAAAAAACAAACTAATATAATAATAAAAAATTGAAAACCTTAAATCCAAAAATTCATAAAATGATTAACGGGAAAAGAAAAAAAAAGATAATCCACTCAATTAAATTGGGTCATGCTTCTTAAGGAAACGAGATGCATTTATATTGGTTGGTCATTTCATTTCTCTCACTCACTCAAACCCAACCTCATTTCTATTTCTTCTCTCCTCCTTCTCCATGGCTGAACTCCAGGACCAACCCACTGATCTCCAGAACCAGAACCAACCTGCTGATCTCTATACCCCAATCTCAACCCTAAACCCAACCCCATCCAAGGCCAAAACTCTTGAAAAAAAAGTTGTGCAACCTCTGCTAGAAGACAGTGAAGGGCAAAGAAGGGCTGATTGAGCATCAGAAGGTTAGGCATGGCAAAGTTGCCAAGCTAAAGTGTGGGGTCTGCAAGAGTCTCTTCGTCTCTCTTTCAGATCTGGCTGATCACAAGAAGAACAAAAAGACTGAGGTAAGATTTTATTAATTAATTGCATATATATCCAATTTTTAATTAGTATAAAAAAGAATAAAGATCTGATATTGTTGCTTGTAAATTGCAGTGCCGCCCCTAGAGCTAGAGGGATGAAGGTGACTTTTGGCCGGAAGAAGAGCAAGCTCTGGCAGTTTGGTTTACTTTTTCACATTTATCAAACTGTTATATTTTATCCTTGCTATATTTGGTCTAATATTTAATTAGATATTGCTTGCTGCATGATGGTGACTTTTGGCCGGACATGAAAGGTCCGGTGGTCTGGTTTACTATTTAGGTTTTGGCCGGACATGAAAGGTCCGGTGGTCTGAATTTCATGTCCAGCCAAAACCTAAGTAGTAAACCAGACCACCGAACCTTTCATATCTGGCCAAAAGTCACCATCAAGCAAGTAATATATAATTAAAAATTAAACCAATTATAGCAAAGATAAAATATAACAACTTGATAAACGTGAAAAAGTAAACCAGACCGCCGGAGCTTGCTCCTCTTCCGGCAAAAGTCACCCTCATCCCTTTAGCTCTAGGGGCGGCAATGCAATTTACAAGCAGCAATATCATATCTTTCTTCTTTTTTCTCATCCTATACTAATTAAAAATTGGATATATATGCAATTAATTAATAAAATCTTACTTCAATCTTCTTGTTCTTCTTGTGATTAGCCAAATCTGGAAGAGAGACAAAGAGACTCTTGCAGACCCCATACTTCAGCTTGGCAACTTTGTCATGCTGAACCTTCTGATGCTTAATCAGCCCTTCTTTGACCTTCACAGTCTTCTGGCAGAGGTTGCACTGCTTTTTTTTTTCAAGAGTTTTGGCCTTGTATGAGGTTGGGTTTGGGGTTGAGGTTAGGGTCTGGAGATCAGCAGATTGGTTCTACTTCTAGAGATCAGCAGGTTGCTTGTTGGTCCATCTCTTATCGTGTCAACTAGCGTTCCAGATGCACTCTCCACTGCCACAGATATTGCTGTAAGTATAAAGGAGGAGAGATTAACAGTTGAACCACTTGCAAAGAAAATTAAGCAGACAATAGCTTATACATGTCAAATAAGCATATACATATATAACCCAACTGTTCAGTATGCATTAAATTATATCCAAGAAATCAAACATCATATCATTCTGGCCTCAGGCCTCAGCCAATCAAATAAATCATTCTGCTAATAAAGTTCCATCTCAACTTTCAAAATATCAATAGTATATTAGCAATCTTAAAGACTCCAACTCAAGGCTGCACCTTGTAACATTAGGCTGCCTACGTACCCATATTGAGGGATCAAGCCACATGTAGTTCTTTCCCTTTAATAATGTAATTGAATATCTTATTCATTCATCATATTGCCATGTGTTTTGCAAATCAAACTGAATTCTCATGTGTGTGTTATACTCAATCGTATTCACAACTCTAAAGCAATACTTTGTAGCTTCCCAATACTCGTATCAGTCATATATTGAATATAAATATGTCATACACTGAACTCCCTCTATTTTAGTTTAAGAACATCTCAAAATTGAAATTCTCTCCACCTAGGTGTACCCCCACTCTTGATCTGTCAATTCCATTAATACCGTCAATTCCATCCTCACAGGCCTCGGAGACACCAAGTCTACTCGAGCCGCAATCCTCGCAAGCCTTGGAGATACCACTTTTATTCGAGCCACAATCCTCACAGGCTTCAGGGGACCATTGGTCAACCTGAGCCGCATTCCTCACACCACACGGTTCAGTAGTCCCCGAAACACGTGGGGCATTATTTATAAATGACATTGTTTCAAAGCAACCAAGGGGTACCCTTATGGTGGTTTGAGAAACCATGATATGATCCTAATAACTCAGTCTTCGATCAGGACCCGTTTACACAGTCATTCTAACATTTCTTGAGGGATAAAACTACATCGGAAGACTCATGGTCAATCGAAGGGGTCAAACACCTAAACTTGATCAACCTGGCTCGCGAGGCCCACGACCTCCTATCACAAATCCGGGAGTCCCTAAAGGTTCCAATATGCCTAGGACACATGTCCCGAGAGTTTGGCCTCAACCGGACGGTCGGATTACCCACGATCGCACGATCGGACAATTGCTGTAAACCTAGCCATAGGGTTGGCATTTTCGGAGTATCCGGGACCCCATTTTACAATCCGTCGATCCTATACGATCCTGGAACTATCTAGATTAACATATATGAAATTGACTATGATCCAACGGTTCAAACGTATCGAACCCGGAAATCGTACAATAGGCGAGATCCGTTCGAGGTTAAAACGTTGTCCGAATTGAAATCCGAAAGTACCTACACGCTCGTGAGGACCAGGAGATCATTCTGAAACTCTAAACCGGTCCAAAGCCTGGCCAACGCCCCGACGCAAGCGCCGGCAGCGCGTGGGTATCGTAAACAAATTCCGTCGTCCGGAAAAACGCCAAACCGCCGGCCCAAATTCCTACCTAGGTGTAAAACCCCATTTGGAACCACTTTTGTTCTTGGACCTACCCCGAAAAATGGCCGGAAGTGGCCAGAATTTCAATTTGAAAACCGGCCAAATTTCAATTCGTATTTCGGGTTACCTACGCTACAAATCGATCAAATCCTACCCAACCATCAGCTAGATCTCGAAAAATAGGTGGAATACCTTATTCGACCGATTTGGTGGCCGGAGGAGGGAGAAACGGCCGGCGAAAGTTTAAGAAAAATCTGTCCAAAACCGCCTGTTTCGTGGCAGATTCCTGCGGCTACGGCGGCGGATCGAGGCAGCGAAGGGCTGGGACTGGAAGAGAGAAGTGTTGTGGTTCGTTTGGGACCGGTCTTGCTTGAAACGGTGGCCGGGGTTGAGAGAAATCACCATATGAAGTTGGCTGGTCGAGCTGCCAAAGTGAAGAAATTCTGGGTTTTAAAAAAACTGAACTTCGGAATATTTACGGTTATGCCACTGGCTTATTCTTGATCGCCATTTCTTCGTTACAACTCCGATTCGAGCCCGCTACGTGTCCACGGACTCGTCTCGATGTGCTCTACACAACAGTTCAATCGTAATTTCCAAATTCCTTCCCAAACTTAAAATGACCTTTTTGCCCCTTTTTATATTAAATAATATCTTTAATTTTCAAAAACCTTAATTAATTCAAATCATTTTATTTTATTGTTTATTTCAATTTATTTTCTCTAATTTTAATCATTTAATCTCCCCCTAATAAAAAGTCAACTCTTAAATCATTTCAATATTTCCGGGGTAAAACTGTCTTTTCTTTGAATAAATATAATGTTTAACTATTAATTTAGGATGGGGTCGTTACACTATATGGAGTTCTGCCACCAGCAATGGCTTGGGCAATGCACAATAAATAATGTGAAAATGGTGAGCAAAAGACTTTATCAAGAGCAAGGCCTGAACTTCTTGGGGTATGACTATTAGCTTGCGCAATAGTGGCCTAGCAAATCATGCAGGATATCCTCACATTTCATTCCTAGCAGGGACATAAACTTAAGCAACAACATGATTATTTAGATTCATGAGGCCTTATGGATCTATTATTCAGCTAGCTAGAACCAATACCAAATTGTAGCTAACTAAAATTTAAGGATATCGTGTAATCAATAGCGTTTTTACAATTCAGGTAGCTATCAACTTTTGAATAGAGAAACTGGAAATTGCAAGTAAAGTAGGGACAATTAAGTTATGGTTCTTGTCGTTTAGATTGTTATTCATTTTGGTTTCTATAGATTCATTTATGTTAATGATATCATGATTGTAATTAAATCCAATAAGGATTTCTGTCAGATTAATTTGCCCAACAAGTGTTGTTACATGTTAATGAAAACTGTCTTTTATAACATTCGCAGTTCAAGAACACTTTAATAAACACAAAACGAATTTCAAATCTTATTGGGCATGCTAGTTTTTCAATATTAAAGAACAATCAAATCAAAAACCCCATACTGAAGACATAAAACAAGACAAAACTTGAATGCACAAATGTAGATTCATTCATGGTCTCTTCATTTCCTCTCCTATTTCAGTTTCCAATTAATCATAAAGATGTGTCAAAATCAAAGAAAGGTTGTCCTGGCTGCAGCTCCAAATCGCCCTCTTCTCATGTTATCCTTACGTTTCTTGTACACGAATCCGCCAAATCCAATCAATCCTGCCCCTATCAGCACTCCAAACACTATCCCTGCCTTCTGCCCACCACTTAGTCCTCCTGAAGACCCTTTCTTATTGGGAGGTGGTGGTGATGGTGGTGGTGGTGGTGGTGATGGTGGTGATGGTGGTGAAGGTGATAGTGGTGGTTTATAGGGTGCAGGTGCGCCCCATGGTGAGAAACTAATGTGGTTATAAGAGGTTACAAAGTTAACAAAAAGGACCAAAACTAGAACAAAATAGGAACATAGGTGAAGTAGTGTGGCCATGAGAACTTTTGATGATACATAAACAATCAAGAACTTGAAATGCATGTTTATATATGCACAATGTATAGCCGTTTATCCTTCACTTAAACAGAAAAAGACAAGAACTAGACAGCAAACAAACCTTTCGAAAGCTTCAAGATAAAATCAATGACGAGAGCTAATTGCCAGCTTAGTTTTGGTTTGCTCTTTGGGCTCCTCAAAACATAGTATTGTTCGCCAGCCTATTGAGGAATGATGTTTCCTTTTTTTCTTTTCTTCTTTTTCCCTTGTTGGTTTCCCACTTGTCTTCTCCTGCAGCCTTGTGTTTCTGTTTGTTTTGGTTGACTTCGTTTATTTTTCCTCAGCTAAAACAACATAGATAACAAACTAGATCCATTTCTGTAAGCACATTTTATCTTTTTCTTCAATACAAAATAAAAGGATGATAGGCAGAACATGGTTTCACGCACATGTCAATTTTTAGATGTATTGACAGCTCCAGTTAGTTCTTTCTTGATCAACTGTAAGATGTCCGAGACCTGCAAGAAAATCGAGTAACTATAAACTACAATAAACAATTCACATTTCAGAGTAAAACAGAAGGTTGCGTACAACAGAAAGGATTAAGCATCACTAAACACAGCACCTTGACACGAGAAATGTGAAAAGAAAACATTGCTTACCTCAAAATACTGCTGCAGAACCAGCGAATGATGACACAATATGGTGTAAATTTTCTCAAGAAGGCCTGCAAGAACATCCACTTGATCACCCAGAAGATCCACCTATATATGACACACATCAAAATTCCAACCAACATATAAACTCAATATGATTAGTTCACAAAGCCAAAAAGTTATCGTTGCAGCGCATAACCTCAGTCTCAGCCTTCCACAGATCTTGACATCTCCTAGTAAAAGCGTTCCTATAAAGTGATTCTTTTTTTCTCAAGGTGGAAACATGTTCAACAAGTATATTTATACCATCCCTCATCTTGTCCAATCTGTAAAGGAGTAGGCATGCAGTCTGCTTAGTTTACAGAAGTACAATCTGAGCGTTGGTGAGAAATTATTTGTATATAGAACAATACCTCAAGAAGTTTATTTCTAACTTTTCTTTTGATGTGTGCTCAAGGTCCACCAACACTTCTTGAAATCTGAGGACAGGTGTAAACACAGAATCAGGTGGGTTCAATTGAACCTCTTTGTTTGTTTTTGGTTGGCAATAAGACGGCTCACTGCTATGTGCAGAACCTACTGCAGGACTCACTTGATCATAAACCTTTTGTAAACCACCAACTACGATGTCTAAACTAGATCCTAACTCACTTCCTAGAGCCTTACTTGCTAGCTTGCTGCTCACCGAACTGGAAGTGTGGAATTTAGTTAACAACCCTTTAGAACTTTCACTTGACATCAGATCTTCCTCCGTACCTATCTTTTCATTCAAATTCTCCTCTGCACCGACCTGTCTATCATTCTGTAACTTGTTAGCAAAGAGCATGCCTTTTGGGAATTTGTCATGAGTCCTAGAATCAGCTTCGCTAAACAGGTCAAATGCATCTCTCAATACCTCGACCATGACAAATTGAAAAATTTCTTCCTTAATGAGACTCTCCATCTTCCATTCCTTGATCGTTTCTCTGATGAAAACCATACAGATATCCTCCCGCACAAAACTTTCTGTGATCTGAAGAAACTCCCTGGTAACAATATCTTGATATTGAGCCAATGGATCACCGGCAGTTTTTACAAACTCTTTGATTGTCTCATTACAAATAAGCCAGTCTACCTCTTCTCTAAGAAGGCTCTCAGTTTCACAACCATATATGCATTCATTCCACTCCTTGAGCATTTCATGCAAAAGGGTCCAGCATACAGCCTCTCTTATTGTTCCTTCCAAGTAACAGAACTTGTCTGAGAATGCTGAGTCGTTCAAAGAATTATTTTCAACCCTCAAATCCTGACACTCTACTAATGCAAAGTTACCATTTGAGCTATAATCCTTGATTGCCTCACGGAGGACGGTGCAATATATCTCTTCTCTGGTTCGAGATTCAATGTTGTTACCTTTAATATTCTCCATCCATTGATTGACCACTTCTGTAAGGAGAAGATTACATATGTCCTTCCAAATCAGGTTCTCTAACTCAAAATCATGTAATTCAATGCGATTCTCTTTTATTAAACTTTCAAGAAGAGTAACATAGGTCCTTTCCATTATCACAGATTTCAAATTTTCTTCTTCTTGGTCTTGTTTCAGCCTGCTGCCTTCATTTTGTAGCTCTTCATTTATTGCGTAAGGTACTTTATCCATCTTCTTCCATACATCTTCCAAAGTATCAAGCTCCAAATTTTCAATATGATTTGCATCAGATTTCAGGAACCTCTCCTCTGAAAGAGTTTCTTCCTCATGATTACACTCATAATTACCAAAAGTTTCATTAAGCTTAACATCCCAATCTCTTAATTTGTCTAGTTTTAAAATAATTTCCTGGACCCTTCTTTTCAAGCTGTTTTCTTGCATCCCAATCTCTTCTCTCCTGCTAGACAAATTCCCTTTCTGTCGAAGAATTTCTCGCTTCAGCAAATTCAGCTCTTCTACCTCTGCACTTTTCTTCCGGATGATGGATTCATGATTCTTTATCATCTTGGAAACAAAGTGGCCTCCATCCTCTCCCCTTTCCTCTTCATGGACTTCTTGCATAACCTCTTCAGCCTTTAAAGACAGCTGATATTCAGGCTTTCCATGATTAAAATCTTCTGGTGAATGCTTTTCATTTGTTCTGTTTGAAACTTTGCCTCCAAGGCTTGTTTGCAATGGATCAGTACTCTTCACTTGCACCACCTCATTATCACCAACGAAAGAATCTAGTTCATGGCGCAAGTTCACAACCTCATCCATCAAATCATACCAGTACTCCTTCAAGCCAAGACAAACGTGCTCCTCTTCCTTCCACACTTGTGCTTCAACAGTTTCTTGGAAATCACTCATGAACCCTTGAAGCAAAGCAGACATTGTGTCTTTCTCAACATCCCATCTCCATTGCTGCTCAATTGGCCCAACCTCAGACCTGAAAATGGCATTCTGCATTTTCCCAAAAGCAAGATCCAAAGTTTCTTTCAAAATCCCCATGTCTGAACCCATCTGCTCAATCTTTTTGTTGTTGATCCCTTCAACGACTTCTGAATTTCCTTCCTTATCTTTGAACCTGTAATCAGGCTGAAGCTTCTGTCTGATATTCAAAACCTGCTGATCCACTGAATTCTTCAACTCACAAAAAAGTTCATTATCTCTATCATCATCATCATCCTCCTCATCATCCCCACCCATCCTATTACTAAAAATGTATTCTTCAACAGGCTCACTCTTCGTTCTTCTTTCAAGCTTGAGATTCGCTGTGCTGGAACACAGCGAAGCCAATTCTCTATCCTTAGCCATGATTGCCATCTCAGACTCCTTGAGGCGCCCTTGAAGGCGGTTTCGAATCTCAGTCAAGTCTGTCAGCACCTGCTCATGGCTGCTCTCAAGAATGCAGCTGTCGGTCTCTTGCCGAACAAACTTCAAACACCCTTCCAGCTGCATGACAGCCAACTCATAGAATCTGGATATCTCATTCAAGCGCTGAAGAACACCTTCTTTGCTCTGCATCTTCTCATGCGCATTGTTCATTGCTTGGTGCACGATCCGCATCATGGTTGAATCCATTGTGTCTCAGTTTGGTATGTTTCAATCAACAAGCAACTACAAATAAAAAGCAAAACAAGAATCTCATCTTCTATGGTGGAAACAAAGAATTACTAGCAGAAACCAGTCTCTATTTTCTCGTAATTGCCCAAGAAATGTGGGTTATTTGTTGTATGATATGATGACCTATTCTAAGGTATCATTTTCATTCTCTTCAATTTTTATTCTCATATTTATAATTTTAAGTTTGGAAAATTGCATTATTTATTTTTATTTATTTTTTGGTATGAATCATAAGGGTGGGTGGTTGAACAATTTAAGAATGTCACACATATTTGCTTTATCATATTAATTCTATATGAATTAATAATTTTTATTTAAACTTCAAGTGACATGGCATGCTTCCATTGGCTGCTTATGCTGCTTCTTCCTTCTCTGTTCCAACTAAGTTTAACTTAACACAGTGATCACATCACTAAAACCTTACTAACCCCTATAGACTAGACTAGGCAGCACCACCGCTGGCGACGGCAGCGGTGGAGGCGCGTTCAACTCGAGTACGAAGCCACGCCACCATTTCGCCGAACACCAAGTCGACGTCCTCCTGGGTTTCACCAACCAGCTGGTGCCACATGCCCTCGTGGATCCTCAGCGTCTTGTCTTTGCTCGACGCGCGCCCGTGGAGCTCCTTAACGCACGCGGGGTCGCAGACGAGGTCGTCGCCGCCGTGGACGATCAGCAGCGGTACCTCCACCTCCTCGAACCTCGCCTGAAGCTCCTTGCACACCCTCAGCAGCTCAAGCGCCGTCGCCGCCCGCGGCCTCGCCACCGTCCTCCTCGGGCTCGCCAGCGCCAGCCTCCGCTTCCACTCCACCTTGAACGACAGGTCCGGCAGCGACCCCCGCGTCGGAACCACGCGCCACGTCGGGATCACCGCTGCGACGAGGAAGAGCAGGTGCTCAAGCGGCCACAGCGGCTTGATCTTGGCGCTGATCCCGCACATGGCGCCGTTGAGGATGAGGCCGTTCCACGCGCCACTCCCTTGCCTGAGCGTGATGAGTAGGGCGATCGCGCCGCCGAGGGACTCGGCGTAGAGGAAGGCGGGGAGGTTGGGCGGCGCGTGGCGGGCGCGGAAGGAGTCGAAGAAGGAGATGCAGTCGTCGACGACGGGGTTGATGTCGGGAATGTGGGCGACGAGGCCGTCGGAGAAGCCGTGGCCCTGGTGGTCGATGGCGCAGACGGCGAAGCCGGACTTGGCGAAGTGGACGGCGGTGAGCTGGACGAACCAGCTGGTCTCGCCGGTGTAGCCGTGGACGATGGCTAGAGTTCCGACGACAGGAGTGGGAGGGAGTGGGGTCCACCACTGGGTGAAGAGCTTGAGGCCTCTGGGATTCGTGATGTACTCGGAGGCGTGAGAGACTTTGTGGCGGGAATAGAAGGCGTCAGGGGTCAAAGAGCCGAAGGGGCTTTGGTCGTTCGCCTCCGCAATTGGGTGCGCCATTTTGTAACTATGGTTTGGTGAAATGCGCCGGGTGGTGAAAGTATCCAAAGATACTGGAAAAGAGTGTGGGGGGGAAGTTGTTGGAGTTACTTATTGCTGCTTTGGTTTGGGTGGTTTGGGTGGTTTTGGTAGTTGGGATGGATTGGGTGTGAATATTAATGGGGGTGGGCATGCAAATTGCAATTGGACCAAATAAACCAACCCAATACCCACATCTTTGATCTCTGTTTCTGTCTATAAATCAAGAGCAGCCTCTACCATTACCATGCACGAGCTGGACTTATACCGAATTTTCTATTTTTAGGGCAATCAATAGCCTCTAAACTAGAGAAAGCTGATAGGTGTGGTGTGGTGTTGCTTTAATCATTACAATGAATGAGCTTTAAAAACTTTGTATTTACCGCCCATTTACTCTCGTATTTAATTACATAACCAATGGGGTGTTGCCACATGTCTTCCTTCCATCTTTACTCTGCTCTTCCCCTCATTATACTCTTTGTCTTGTGAGGGAGAGGGAGAGAGAGAGAGAGGTGGTACAGTGGACTGCACCCAATCTCACAGAGCTCAATCAAGCTATCAAATGGTATTTGTCAAAATTGCAAGAAATAGCTCAACCTAACTTTATTCATAGCAATATAGCATGTAGTGAGGAGCAGGGTAATTAGGCATCCACCCATCAATGTACAAGTCCAGACATACTACACCATACTTGAAACAAGAACTAAAATTTTCCTTGAATCATCTTTGTCTGAACAATGAAGATTGACATTCTATTAGTGTAGACTGTACATATCAGACTAAACAAAAAACAAAAAAAGACTACATAATATTGTCCTTGAAATTCAATTCCGAAATTCTTGTCATCAGAAGACAGGATCAGCATCTTCCCCTGCACAAGCTGAAACAAGAAAACCCTCATATCAGAATCATGACCAATTTTTTCTGATCAAGTCAAGAAAATGCGACTTAACAGTGCCTGTTGTAAGATGAAGAGACATGTACGGCAAACTGAAACATATCAGTGTATGATCTCAAAGACAACTGCTGGGAATAAAAGTGGGCATAAGAAGGCATCACCAACCCGAATTTAATGGGTGTATGATTATATTAGCTAAAGAGATCATCCACTAGTATATTATCAGCATGAAACCGATTAACCCGATCACTGGCTCGCTGTCACAACTCTGCCAATACTATGATATCTTCACAGAAAATCCCCCCACCTACAAAGCAGTCTTTCCATGACATGCAGACTTAGAGAAGCATGCATATGATGCTCCAATCATTACAGCCTTTCAGAACTACTTTTGCCTGTTTCATTTACAGCATCCTATCATATTAGGTAAAGGGTATCATTCATATTGTTTTCCAACCGCACCAAAGATATATCACTACATACTAGACAGACCATATCAATGTAGGCATCTTGGGTATTCAATCTTTGCATATATGCAGACATGCTTTAGAGCATGGATTAATGGGAACAGCAACAAGTTTCGTGAGAATATATGGATAGCCTTTCACTTTCTTGGGCACAAGCACCCTAAGATTCATATCTAAACAGAAATCCAATCTATTCTAGTAGGCTAATACCTAAGATGGTTCTTGGTCCAGGGCCATGATTCAGGTAGTGAAGAAGTGTGCAGAGTTCTATGTTCAAATATTTACAATTTATTTAATTCAAAAGTTCCTGATAGGATCCTTTGGGGATCCTTTGGGGTCAATGGATTCTCCCCGCTCTCAGCTCAACAAGACAATTATAGATAATTCCCATGTTCAAGCATAATTAGCTGCACATGCCATCCTAAATGAATCTTTGGATGTAAATATTTAACTGATCTGTTCATTAATGAAATCTCATTGTTCACCTTATTAACCAGCTCTCCGTAGAAGCAAACAAACTACTCTTTTTTCTCTTTTTCCTTACCAGACACAAGAATCCTTGTCAAACTGCAACACCCACCTCTTACAGGCTCACAAAAGCAGGCAGAACTGTCCAACTGATAAATTCCTAGAACTAGAAGATTGGCCTTTGATCTTACTGGGTATTTCACCAATCACCTAATGATTAAACTACATGAAAAGGTATGAGAGAATTCCAGCAGCATCTTCTATTCAAACTAGAAATCAAACCATAAGAGCACTGCTTGAATCTGCAATACATTTTAGTTATAACGCAAGCAAGGTAGTTAATGATTCAAATACCCATTCTACAGTTATGTGCTCAACAATAGCTCAGTATCAAGACATGTTTCTCACACAGCACATAACTAAGAGAATGTCACATTAAAGTCCCTAACCAAAGATTATTACAAGTTACAAATTTGATTGCTAAAGAATTTAACCCAATTTTTTAGAGACATGTTAAAACACTGGTCTCCAAAATTTGGCAAATACCCTACAAACCAATGGCACATATAATGAAAACCCATATCATAAAACTTCATTTCAAACACAAATTTTGAAACAAAAGCATGTGAAAGTACAAGGGTTTGAGATGAAACAAATTACCTCCACAGCAGAAACAACAGAAGCAACAGGAGAGAAGCATCAGGATCTCTCTGCAAAGTCCAAGGACCACTCCATGAGCCTTTGGATTGGGCACTTCGGCCACTTTTCCATTGACTTCACCTTCTTGGCTATTCGACTGTTGGACTCCGCCTTCTTGGCTGTCTAACAGCTTCTGATTGACGGAAGCTGATGATTCTTTTTCACTTTTCATTCTCTGGAGGTTCCATTCGAGCTTTCTCAGGTAAGCAAGCTTGAAGGAGTCTCTGATCGTCGCTGAGGGCCATAGATGCATCTCTTTCTCTCTCTCTCTTTTTTCGCGCGGTGATCTTCAAGAGACTGGAGAATGGAGAAGTTATTTCCACAAGAAGAAGAGGGACGTGCTAATTCGGTACAAGTTCCTCTTCAAAACGGCGTCGTGTCTTTGATTATGGACTACGTTGAAATGAGAAGAAATGCCCTTAAGACTAAAGACCGTCTCTAGAAACTTTGTGCGTGAGAAGACATGGGCTCTGTTTTTTAAATTCTTTGATTAAGATTGTTTCTATTTGATTTAATGCAAAACCTACAAAACTCAATTACTTAGAAGTTGTGGGTTTTATTGGGTATGGTTGCATGTGTATGTTTTGGGTTTGGCTAGTTGGAGTTGAAGTTGTGGGTTTGGGTGACATGTCGTTGGGTTCTTGAGAATATAATTCTATAATGAGGGGGTTGTGGAGGGGTTCAATGATTGGATGGTTGGATTAAGCCCCCGTTCAACTCCCTCACCCAAATCCCCCTCATTATAATATTTTCTGAGAATTGTCTTCAGAAAGTCAAAAAATTTTACAAGTAGTTTTAGAGTGGTCAAAAAGCCACACGTGTTACCTATCACCCAATTTAATTGTTCACGCGTTAGGTGTTGAGTTACTCTCGTCATTGTCAAATGAAAATTTTTCTTTAACAAATGAATTATTGAGTGAATGAGGCTTGAGGATGGTGTGTAGTAATGTGGAATGACTTTAGTTTGTTAGATAAATGCATATGTTCCTCACAATTAAAGTTTGAGGGTGATGGCAAATGATCCACTAGTGTAGTGGTTTTGAGTAATTACTTCCTTACATAAGGTTCTGGGTTCGAGTCCTAACATCCATGTAGTGTGTGTGTGTGAGTTTAATATATTATCGCCCCTCTTAATTGGAAATCTCATTATATAAAAAATAATAAAAAGTTAGAGGGTGATGAATGGTGACATATGCTAGAGAGTGGGTGGTGTAGTAGTTATGCTCTAATTGCTTTTCTTCTGGGCAACTCCATTCTCCTCTATGCTTAAAGCAAATAGTCGTTCTAAACTCACAATTGTCAAACTTGGAATCCACACATCTTCAAAGTTAAATTAAACAACACTGCTACAGTAAAACTTAGGCTGAAAATGTATTACAGACAACGGAGACTGATTAGCTTAATTTGTGAAAATATAAGGATATATGGTGCATAAAACAAATCCTACGCATATATAATACATTTACATGCTAAGCAATTGATATTTGCCTAAATCACAAGTTCAAAACACCATGCCATCGCAGCTCCAAAACCAAAAGACGAGCCTTCTTCGAACTTGAACTTGAACTTGAACATACCCAGGTGGAACTCTGAACATATATATGAACATTTGATGTGGTATCTCGAACAAGAATGCAGGTAGCTGAAGAAGATTACATGATGGTTGCAAAACCATAAGCCAAGGGGGAGAGACCAACGAGAGGAGGGAAGAGACCAACGGGAGGATTTTCATACCTGAAACTGTGGAATGCGGGTGTCCAAGGGCTCAAGAGAAACCCAAAATGAGTGAGAAGGAAGGAGACAAGGGTGGTGATGGGTGCCATATATGATAGAGAGTATGATATGTTGTTCACCCTTAATTTGTTGGAAAAAAATTGAAGTGTAGATATTTTAGTTGCTGAAATGGGGTTTTTTTATTAGGACTGATGAAGAGGAAGTGGCAGTTGTTGCTTGACTTTGAAGTATAGATAATATGCATGTCGTGCTATTGGAAGCAATCATAGAAGCGTGCACACCACTGCACCAATGCTTATAAAATATGCTTATTGAAATAGGTATGTCTATTAACGTGATATACGGTGGAATGCATTTGCGGATAACTAATTTTGTGTCTAAATGGTCGCTCGACTAGGTCAAAAATGAACTATCCATAAGCGTAGCTAATCGTAATATAGAAAAAGTATATGCATATATGCATGTAGCAGATGTTTCTGATACGTTTCATCCATAGATTCTTACCACAAAGAATGAGAATTTTGGCATTTTGGCTAATCTTTTGTCTAAAGGGTGGTGTGAATAACGGTATATATATCTTATCTTCTACGTCATTTTTTGGCCTTTTGAGGAAGAGCTCTTGGATTGTAGCCAAGTCTCTGGCAAGAGATCCAATGGCAACTCGAACTCGAAGTGGGTGAGATCAGGTGAGGTAGGATAGGATGCTTTTTCAGCTAGCTAGCTCGCTCGCTTGACCCAGAAAACTGTCTTCTAGCTACTTAGGCCATGTTCAAACTAGTTGGGTTCCAGCCTTTTCCAGCTGCATACGAAATGGAAGATATGGGCCAACTCCGATCATGTTTTACTTACCATGATTGGGAGAAATTATGAATCAGGAAAATTAGATAGGGAATCAAGGAATTGGAGTAGTTGGATCTCATTCTTGACTTTGAGGGTTTTTGATTAAAAAATTTAACATAAATTTCACATAAATTTTAATATTTTTGGGGTATTTGATTATAAATTTTAACATAAAATTCACATAAATTTTGATTCATTATGAATTAGTAAATACATAAATTTGTATTCATTATATGTTAGAAAACGCATAGAAGTCAAGAATTCCAATACACGTGATAAGTAAACATTAGTGTGCTCAATGCCCTCATCACTCATATTACTTATATTAAAGGTCTAAAATATCGATGGTTTCGGAAAAATCAGGAAACTATTGATATCGGTAAAATTTGAATAAAAACCACATAAATTGTAAGAAAAACTTGGAAATTTTTATTGAAGCTTTGGATGATATTTATTTAGTCAATTATCTATTAGTTTATCACAAAAAATTTGGAAGAAAATTCATTGCATGATGGGTTTAATTGATTTAAGTTGATTATATAGAAAGCTGACAAACAATGCGAGTGTAGAAAATATATAGTAATTAACGAAAGAAGATTAAACACGCCATAATCATTTATTTATAATGATTTATTACAATATTTTACACTTTATACATTGCATGGTAAGATACATGAGTGACTTAGTACCACATAGAGTTCCTATGAGGTTCAATTTTTTTATTATCTTCATCATCTCTATGTATAAAGTAAGTGTATTGTGAAGAGTATTCATTAAATGATAAATTCCTGAAATAGTTTTGCATGTAGTTGTTAACATGTCACCCATATGGATCCGAGATTGGTTGACGTTGTCCATACGCAAAATCATTTGAAGATTAGGTCTCAGATTATGTTCATGAGCTGCTCAATTCCATCCCAAAAGACATGAGATATGAAGGTTAGGAAAAAGGGTTGGTTTTGAGTTTAACCATAGTTACTACTTACCACTCCAATAGAATCTGAAGTTATAGATAACGAGTAATCTTCATTGCGTGAGTGTTGTTGCTTTTTTTGGTCCTTTTTTCCATTGCATGCACATATAGTGTTATTTTTTATATTTATCAATATTATCGAAATATTTTGGCCAAATGTTGTTGAAGTGTGTAAGAAATTATCGACGTCAATATTTTTCGATATTATCGTCAATACTATCGATAATTATACGATATATGTATGGATATGTTCCAAAATATCATAGACCCGAATAAACGATAATATCCTCAATATTTCATTGATATTATCAATATTTTAGACCTTACTTATATCTAAAAATAGGAAGAAAAAAAAATGACGGTAACTAACTGATCAATCACACTGAATTACAAGCCCTCACATCTATCGATTGAACTTAGACAAAGCATATTGTTTCCAAAAAAATAGCTTAAATAAGTATTCTTATTTGAGCAAGAAAATATTAAAAGATCCGCACATTCATGTTATCGAGGTTCCATAAGCTACTAAATTGTCATATACTCTCATTGTTGTCACAAGTATATAGAAAAAAATAAGTTCGATATATTGTCTTGTCTACGAAGGTATCATTATATAAAAACTTAAGAGTAGTTGGGCACAATTTGCGGAGAGATTGAGACAGATTTGGGATTTGATTGTGTTGTTGGGATAAGGGTTGAAAGTGGTAGTGTGTAGAAGGAAAGAGAAGCCAGCGAGGTCTAGTATTTTGGGCCAACAAACAAATGGAGCCGAGAGAGAGTCCATGTGGGAAGTATTAGGTTCCCAATGATTTGCAAGCTTATGCTTTGCACACATCTCAAACGTAAATGTTTATCTGATTATATATTGAGTTGTTATTATAAATATGATTTTAATTTATTTTTAATACAAGCGATAATCTAAACCACAATGAGCTTCTTCACACACACCATGAAGGTGCTATGAGATTCTTGAACTTGAGACCAATAGTATGTAAATCAAGGTCCCGTTGGTGGTGTTATTATTATATTTACTTATTTTTTGGGTGCAAATTATTCTTTTGTGCAAGCTAATTGAGACATTATACAGCAAGCAGCAGTGACCAAATAGTTTGAACTTTTCTTGAAAGCATGATGACTACAAAGAAGAAAGGAGGAGAGATGGAAATGAAAATGACATTTAAGTAAATTCAAAGGCAAGTGTTTGGAGAAACAGTAAGGGGTACAAAAAGCTCTCCCTTTTCAACCTGACTATATCTACAAATTAATGGCCCTCTCAGCCCCTCTTTCTAAAGGAAATTGAGAGAGAGGAGCAAAAGAAACCTTCGTACACACGCAGAAGCTAAAAGCACAAATAATAATACTAGCCGTTATAACTTATTCTTTTCCAAATCCCATGATATATAGCCTTCTTCCATTGTTTCCCACCCTGACCATGACAAAGGAAGCATCTTCAATTCATGGAGTCTCTGAAAATATTCAAACATGGGGGTTGCTCCTGAATGATCCAAGGGCTTTGACAGCTCCTGCTCTCAAGATGAATTGGTGGTAGAAGGCTGCAATGGCTGCACCAATGAAGGGTCCAACCCAAAAAATCCACTGCAAACAAAAAGATAGAGGAAAAGTTTACACATAAGATACAATATCACACAACTAAAATTAGAAAAACAGTAATAAAAAAATAAAAGTGATTAAATATATATACATACTTGGTCATCCCAAGCCTCTTCTTTGTTGTAGATGACAGCAGCTCCAAGACTCCTAGCAGGGTTGATGCCAGTGCCAGTGATTGGGATTGTGGCCAAGTGAACTATGAACACTGCAAACCCAATTGGCAGTGGAGCCAAAACCTTTAAAAATTCACAGCAGAGTACAACTTTATCAGCTTCATAAACTATAATATTATTTTTCTCATTTCATATTTATAAAAACAAATTCTGAGTGGATGGATGTCTATTCTTCCAGTCAAATCTACAAGACCAAAATCAGCAACAAGACACTTGGAACAGAAAATGGACTAAAACAGTACCAAAGGACCTTCCCGTGAAGCTAAATAAAAACAAAACTCGACAACCTTTCATTCATAAATGGGACTCAGCATATCATGTGGAAACTATTCTGAACTTTGTCTTTGTGATATTTTACACTGTTATACAGTAAACAAATTAAGACACTGATCTAACTTTAACTATTAAAATAATACCTAAATGGTCCTCAAATGGCACTCCACAGACGCTTTACTTTACAGGAATAGTAGGAAGAACCCACGGTTTGACGTTAAGGTAAGACCATCTTGAGAGGGCAGAGCACGTCAAGATGAATGGAAAGGCTAAAAGGTGGGCAGAAGAAACTGAAAAAGTAGAATCAACTTGTTGAAAGCTGACAAAATTAGGTGACCTCCCCTTGGCATCTATTGTGTTGCCCTAAAATTCTAGCCACAAAAACCACTAAGGCAGCGCACGTTATGGACCTACTCATTAGAGACATGGTGGTGTTTAGAAATGTTACTTTTCTTTCGCGGATTCGCCCTTTAAGAAATTTTGGTTTTCTAATCATTCCAAGGGCACTATCATTTATATATGTAATAAGGAGGACCGAAAACAAAAGTATACAATGTTATTTTGATTTACACATTTTATAAAATTAAGGAAATCACATGTGTTTATTAGACCAATTTGTGAAGAGAGTGTTCGTCTCCAATTTGGTCCTACTTCTAGTTCATTTTGTTACTAAAAACATAGGAGGAAACTCAGTACCAAATGTTTGGCAATCCTTCGCAGAGCTTATTTATGATTTTGTACCGAACTAGAATAATTTAGACTTATATCAAATCATATAACTACTATTGTACCGTGTAATAGTGTGTGGGGGGGGGGCACCTAAATTTGTCCCAAGGGTAATTGTTTTCCAATGAGGGTATATTTTTCCACAAGGTGTTAAAGCACATACAGGCTCGACAGCCAATGAAGCTTGGAGTACTTGTACCAAGTCAATTCAATAATGCAGTCCAACATAAAAATACATATTCAATAATGCACTCAAATTAAGAACACAAAGGTATTCTGTTTTCCTATGCAATAATACATCTCATAAATAACGCATCTTCAGAAGGAATTTTAAATCTCAAAAACTAAAACATGTGGCCAAGTTTTCTCAATTCTCTTACACAAATAACTATGTTCTCCAAATTAATATGGGTTAAAAAAAAGGGAGTTTCACTAAAACACCCAAAATGGAGGTTGAAATTATAAAAAAACCCAAGTACTATTTAAACATATAAACACACCCAAAACCCATCATTACACACACTCAAAACCCATTTATAAACACACCCAAAAAGTTGACTTTGGGGTTGATTTTGGGTGTGTTTCTATGTTTAAATAGTACTTGGGTTTTTTTATAAATACATGTCTAGAATTGGGTTTATTTATAAATTTGTATAAAAAATAATTTATATCAAAACAAAAATGAAAATCCCAGAAACATATTTATAGATCTACAAAGCAGAAAAAGTTTTCTACAAAACTAAAAACCATATAATACTAATACACTAATTTATCTCTCTTATTTTCTCAGCTACCCTGTTTTTTTTTCTTATGTCTAATTACCATTTTGTAGCACAAACCCGAGAAGCTATCAGAGAAAATAAATAGTAAATGGTGATGCAAGAAAGGTATGTACCGGAACATGGGAGTCTCTAGCACTCCTCTTGGGGTCAGTAGCAGAGAACACAGTGTAAACCAGCACAAAGGTCCCCAATAATCTCAGCACCCAACCCAACTCCTGTGCTGTAGCCTTGACTGAGCTCATTGGCTCCACCGCCATACTTGGTGTAGTAGCTCTTTTGGAAAGCCTTGACCAAAGCAACACCGGCTATAGCCCCCAAAGACTGAGCCACCATGTACAAAACAGCTCTGACCAGCGACACCTTGCGAGCCAAGAACAGCCCAAATGTCACTGCAGGGTTAATGTGACCTCCTGTTCACAGAAAACCCACATCAAAGACATCAGCTTTTAAATTAATTTGTGTATATACAAGCGAAACCACACAAAACCCTCATCAAAGATATTAGCTCTTTAGCTAATTTCTATATAAACAAACAAAATCACATAAAACGCACTAGCAAAGACTTCAGCTTTTTAGCTTATTTCTGTACTTAGAAGCAAAATGATGAACTTAGAAACGAAAACTGACCTGAAATCCCAGCAGTGCAGTAAACAAGGACAAAGATCATGCCCCCAAAGGCCCAAGCAATACCCAGAATCCCAACCCCACCACAAGCGTCAGCATTGACAGCTGGATCTGTCTGGCTCTTGTACCCAATCACAGTAAGCACAGTGACATAGAGGAAAAGAAGAGTGGCTATGAACTCAGCTATGAGAGCTCTGTAAAAGGACCATTTGGTGAGCTCCACTGCATCGAAGAGTGGTGCAGGAGGTGGGTCATGGTAGTCCTTGGCTGAGAAAGAGCCTCTCTCTGCAACTTCAACGTCCTTGGCCATTAAGCTTAATTAGCTAAAGCTTCACAGAGTTTGGGAGAAACAGAGAAGAAGCAGGGGAGCTGAGGCTAAAGAAAAACAGAGTCTTCGCTTTTGAAATTGAGAGAGAGAGAGAGAGAGGAAGGGTGTTGGTGTGTGAGAGAGTGAGGAGAAGGGGGTATATATGGGGTGAGGGATTAGGATTAATTACTGCAATTTGAAATTTCTGGACAGAACCCACCTACTACTATTTTAGTGTGTTCTTTGGCTTTCACCGACTATGTGGCCTGACTTTTTGCTGGGGCCACCTGACCTCCCACTTACTTCACCTCTCTCTTTCTTGTGCTTCCCACTAACCACATTCTAAGATTTTTCTTCTTAAAAGATACAAGAAATGTTTAAACGGTGAAACGTAGACTATTTATCAAGTTAATTATCGTCTTAAATTGTGAATTGGTGTGAGGTTTCGTATGTGGCTTTTTGTTTTTTGGGGTCTAATTCTTTATTGATAAAAAAATAATAATAAATAATAAATAATAATAAAAACCTCATATGTCATTATAGCTAGCGATAAGGACCAAAAAAAAAATAGGAACCTTGTTTTTCTTTTGTGTTTTTAATGAATTATGTTTGTCCATGTATTAAACCGTGATTTACAGTAAAAATGAGTATAACCTTCCAAAATCCTTTATTTTATGTGTAATACTTTTATTCGAATCAGAATTGGAAAAAGAACGACATGCACGATTCAGAATTCAATGATGATAAAGAGAATTTTTTTGCAAGAGGGCGTGGAGCACGTTCAAAATGACTCAGTGAGTAGTAGTGACTCGCAACGGGCCAAAACCCAACAGTAGTCGTTGTATTTGACAGCCGACGCTGCAGACAGCACTGTTGTTGTCCTTCGGACTCAGCTGCTGCTGTGCGCAGACGGCCCACCCCCACGCACGACCAAAAATGTCGACGGCCAAAATAAGCTTCGAAATGGAGTGACACGTGGGGGGCTGTGAGCCACACGTCCATAAGCTGATCACGTGGTGATGGACCGCTGGATGGTCGTCTTGCTTCACCGCGAAATCGGCTAAGTTAGGCCGAAAAATGGGTGGTTGGAGATGGCTTGGCGGTTCTTCAACGTTAATAAAACACAAGCAGCGGGAGAGTGGGTCCCATTCTTATGCTTTAGTCTTACTGCTGGATATTTGGGTTGGGTTGGGATCAGAGGCACACAGACACACGCCATACCACGTCACTTTCCAGTTCATCATATAACATGCTCTCATAATTCTCCCCCCAAAACAAAAACCTCATAATTAATTATACACGTGGCAACATGATACATGAAAGGATTTTCTCCATCCAAATTATAACATGTCTTCTATTACCAACATCTTAATCTCAAAATTTAGACAATTTACCTGTTATAATTTGCATGGACATATACTAGTACTTTTTAATTTCAAAAATTTATCGTAACACTTGAAAGACTTTGATTTTATCATTTCGTGCACTTTTCGTTTTTGTTTTTCTCACCATGCGATACACACGATGACAGAATCAGTGAAAATAAATGCGTGGAATGTTTTATGTAGATTCATCTTTTATACGCAGATGCACAAATGAAAAGAAAAAAAAACATGTTATTGGTATCATATATAATGCTTTTTCTCAAATATATGAAAGGAAGATGTGTGTTTAGAGACATAGAACAAGACATGACCAATTGCCAGTTATGATGGTATATAGAAATATCGTATTCAATGAGAAAACGACATTTCATGACCGTTGGGGATGAATTTTGGAGAATTTTATTTACGTCATACGAAAGAAACTATAATAATAAGAAATTAATGTAAAAAATTATTAAAAGAGCACCTCCTTTCCTCGCACATTATTTTAACTTTGTTTCCCACAATTTATTTATTAAATTATTCGGCTCGGCAAAGTGGGTAGGTAATGGGACTAATATCCCATGTTACCAGAAATAGAAAACGCTAATTTAATAAAACGGCGTTAACCAACAAAAAAAGAAGAAGAAGGTTGATGACGTTTTTTTTCAGTGTTTAAAGAAATGAGCACAACGTACGGGATTGTTTATTGATTATGATTAGTAGACTTTTTTGGCCTCTCACACTAATTAGCCATTATCCTTTCCTCCATGATTGTTCGTTGATTATGTTTAGTAGACAAAGCGTACGTGGATTCGAATACTAATAAGAGACAGACAACCACAGAGGAACAAATCAGATCAAGCCATATGTCATTGGCCGGTCGGCCAGCGAAGCAATTTCAGATAGCCTCAACCTCCAGCACACTTGCCATTACATTACACCAAAGCAAACGTTAATAACAGGTGTATGAGGAGTTGTTTTGACTGATGTATGACTCATGTTTTACCGTTTCCTTATCTCTCTTATGTTATGATAAGTAACATAATTAGTACTTAGAAAAAGAAGTAGATAATGCAATGGAAGTATGTAAGTTTTTCTCCTTACAGTACAATTTTAAAGCCAACGTGTTCTTACTTTTAAGGAAAAGAGTAATCGAAGGATTAGGAGTCCATGATTTTTCTTCGAACTTTATGTGTTTTATTTTGTCAAAAGACTAGAAAGGAAAAATGACAAGATTGAAAAGAATGAAGCTGGTTATGGATGTGAAGTGAAGGAGAAGCCCCCCCCAGCGACATGATTGAAGCCCAAAGGAGAAAAAGGAAGAGACATGACTTAAAGGCATTAATTTTATTTCTTTTCATTTCGTAGAGAGACATATTGTAGTCGGCACTGATTTAAATTTGATTCTCTTTTGTTTGGTCGAAAAATCATGTTCATTCAAGCTGTCAATAACATTAATAACAGAACAAATATATATTTCTTAAAATAAATAAATAAATAAATTTCTATTGAGTTGAGAGTGAAAGATTAAAGATTTTTTATTTTTAAAATCCTAATAAAATTAAAAGAGCACAAAAATCACGTTTATGATGTGATGATGGACTGACCGACCATCACCGTCGACCGCACCAGTTTTCTTCAAGCTAGTAGCCAAACGAATCAAAGCATGCCACGTATGAGGGCCCACCGGTTTTCCCGTTATTCCTGTAACAAGACGGCACAGCCCATATTGGTTTTCCTTTTCTATTTAATTTTTTTTCGTTTCAAGACAGTGAGAGGAAGAAGGTCGTCTGACCACGTGTCCAGACATATCCCATCAGCCGTCCGATTTTAGGTTTACTTCGTCATTGCTCATGAATTGGACGGTTGTTTTTTCTAATAAAATAATTCAAGTTGATTCATGGGCCGTTGGATATTTAATTTCACTTCGCAATGAAATGCAAGATTTCACATCCCCTTCAATTGGAGAAATACGGAAATAATTTCTTCATATGTCAATTTGTGATTGGTCGGGAATAGCAAAATAGTATTTTTTTCGTTTCATACAAGTTCTTCTGTTCTTCTGTTTCAATTGATCCTGTTTTGTCATGGACTTTTACATATTATTTATTGCAATTAGGTCTAAAATCAATGAATGATTTTACAGATAATGACTAACGGCTCTTGCAAAGCCATAAGAAAAATACTAGGTGCCTCTTTTTAGCTCTTTTGACAAAAGTGTATAGCACTTGGGAAAGAAACCTCAATAAATTTGAAGCCAACCTTTGAAAAAGAAGAAGAAGAAGAAGAAAAGAAAAAGGTGGGATGCATCGAAAATTCAGATAAATTTGCAACACAAATTAAGTCACTTGTGAAGAAAGCAAAGCAAACCAAAGAAAGCCAAATGGGCATCTTCAAAATCATCAAAGGATCCGTGCACATAATAATTCATGCCTATACAGAGTCCAAAAAAGCTGCACTCTTCATGGATGGTGGGGCATCAACTGATAGGAAGGACTATGATTTGCCCCACTAATATTAATAAGTGAACATAAATTTTTGGACCTCTTGTAGATTCTTCTAGGTCATCTTTCTTTGTGGTGGCCAAAGATTTAGAAAGGGCTTTCTTGACAGTCTAATCTTAACTAGAGAATAATATCAAACTGCATTAATTAATCCTTATGTAGCACGGGTTTTGCAATTCATGTACTCATTTTATTCTGCTTTGAATCATCCGGAAAATGGATCGATAAAGACTTTCCATGGGACAATCTCATGAGTCATTTTGTGTCTCTTTCTCATCACGTGACCATAGTGAGTGCGGCGAGCGCATTATTGCTATGGGCCGCCTTATAAGCATGTTCAAGTATGTTGGGTCCATAATGCTGATGATGACATGGGTATAGCATCTGCAGTCAATTCTATATAACAAGAGGATCAAACCCAGACAAAAAAAATGAATGGGAAAGGAAATCTCAGATAAATCTTGTTCCATGGAAAAGCCAAGAACTTGGTCGAAAATTGAGGTAAAAGCAAATCCAAAAAGGAAATATAGTGTACAGGAAGAACATGAGCCACATGGCCAACACCACAACTCCAAAGCAGCTGAATAAACCATTCAAAAAGTAGTCCAGGGAGAAGGTATGCCACAGAAAATAAAAAAAAATAAAAAACCCACCGTCGCTTGTATTTTGTCACCATATGGGTCACATCATAAACAAGCACATAAAAAGCTCATTACAAAGTTCAAACATATACAGAAATGCGTATCTACAGAACGATACAAGAAAATTTCACAATTGTCGGCACCTTCATTATGGAGGTAAACAAAAAAGCTATTATGAACAGTTTTCGATCTAATGGCTATTGTAATTCAGAAAGCAGTGGACTGGTTTAAGTGAACACAATTCACAGGTAATATTTCTAGAAGACAAAGCAGAAGACCAATCTGTCATAGTGAGAGAGCACAAATCATTTTGCTTCAGAAATCTGGTTTTCTCATTTATCCATCTGTCTCTGAATCTCTGATCCAATCAACTGAAAATTCTGTCCTTCGAAACACATGGGTTTCTATACAAAATATACATAAACCCACAACTGAAAACCTAACCCAAATGATGTACATCTGACATGAGCGCAACTCTATAGTATTTAGTAATACATGAGAAATGGGGAAACCCAGCTATGTGAATTTAAACCACTTTACAAGAAGCAAGTTGCGCTTAAGCACGGAAACCCGCTTCAATGGCTTGAAAGATTGGAGCAATATCAAACCTGAAGTTTCTGAAACTCTTGCCAAGTCCCGTGTCAGGAGGATGAACATCAGGTTCGGGTTTAGTTGATTGGCTCTCCACTATCATGTTGCTACTCCCTATCGAGCTGTTCTTTGCTTTCCACATGCTGATTCCTAAGGAAGATGAAAACAAAGTTCATCAGGGAAGCAGAAAAAAAAACAACAAATCCGGACTTTTATAAAGATCAAAGACAACTCACCATCAAAACAAAAATGTAAACGTGCATATCATGGAAACATCAGAGCATTCAATTTAGATGCTCAACTATGACAAACTGTATACTAAAATATACCACTGCCATTGTATCCTATATGGATAAGAAAACCAAGATCCATTTGCAAACTATTCATGTTCATATGCTTTGGTTTCTCCAAGCTTTTGTATAATTCATCTTTCTTTTTTTTTCAAATTTTTTTTAATCTCACGAGAGCTTATAGGCTACCAAAAGACTTCAAAGGGAGGTAAAGAACCTTTGAGTGGCATATCAGTTCTTGGAGCAATTGTGGACTGATGTGCTAAAATCCACGATTTCAATGATCTGTAGGAAGAAATTGGTCCTATTAGACATTATAAAAAATGTTGAAACACTTGAGAAAGTAATTAAATTTATATACCAAGACAACTTACGCTAAAAAAGGGGACACCATGTAAAGCTTGAGGCCAGTGATACCACGAGATATCACATCATTACTTGCAGGCTGAAGGTCATCCAGTCGGTGCCATGCGATTTCCTGCAAACAGATAACAAAAGCTGTGCGCTTAACCTATGATAATGTGCAGGATACAAGAGTTATGTAGTCTATCTAACGATGATGATGGCATTTATTAAAAACTAAGAGGTCACAGAGCCAATAAAAAGAAAACAAATTAAAATTTTAATTAGGAGACAAAACTCTGCACGTTGTTCTACAAACTCTATGAAAATGTTAGGAATACAAATTTCAAAAATCCAGACCACCATGATGGTATACCATATTTTGAGTGATCAATATCTTATCCCCAAAGTATAACCTACAATGAAAACTTCAACTGGTTTTTCCTTCGAATAAATTACACCATGAAATGTAAAATCTATGCACAAAAAAAAAGTAGATAAACATTGATGCATTATAAACCCCATACACTGATCTCCTTTTTGGTGAGTGGTGCAAAGGCAGTATCCTCCCTCACACCAGCAATAATGTAGAGCCGCACCCTTTGCTGTCCAAATACGGCTTCAATGTACTCATCTTTGTTAAGTAGTTTTGTCACATCAAAACCTGTTTCTTCAAGGACCTGTGTTCACAACAAAAAAATCAGGTTATTTATAATAGAAGGGGGAGATCTGTCTAGGTTGTGCATGCCTTCAGAGGGTAAAAAAAATGACGCAACAAGACCTACTGGTGTAAAGTTTCATTCATCCAGTAACTTTCCTAGTAAAATACGCAATAACCGTAGGATGATTATGTGAAACCAAACTATTCTCTCAATCCTTTCCCCAAATCTATCGCATAGAGTGAGTCCCACAACATCATCGGTCGGTCCTACTACAGGTGAGAGAGTTAGGGGAAAAGTTGGGTTCTAAAAAATTTCCTGTCCCATACAAGCTCCTAATGTGTCACAAAAGTATACAGCAATAACATTGTTATTGAATGATATAAATCCCCAAGCCATATCACATGTAGTTTATTTTGTCAGCTCTGACTAACAGAAGGAGATCTTATTATATCAAGAAGATGAACATGGATATGCATGCACATATATGCAACACTGAACGTACTAGTTGTGCACATACCACCCACCTCTACCTTCATGACACATCGACAGTGGCATAGAGAAACATAGAGATATATCATCTATTATCTGTATAACAATTATTACGCACCTAAATAAGAACTTAGAGAGCTAAAAAAATCATTTACAATATTGTCAACTTCACTGGAGAGGGCTGTGAAATCTCACTGTAAATATCGGGAAGAAAAATTGAACTGGATTAAGAAAGAAAACTCATAAGAAATAATCTTACTTCTCGGATGGCACATGCATGGTCTTCCTCATCTTTATTCTTTTTTCCGCGTGGGAAACTCCAGCTTGATCCTTTCCATCCCTTCACGAGTAGGCACTGTCAATTGGACAAATGTAAATTAGTACAAGTGAAAAATTCACACTGCTTCAAGAAAGCTCCAATAGTTGACCAATATTTTCACCTCACACACAAGTTTGTGCATGCACATAACAAGAACTTATGATATCAACCAGAAGTCATGTTTGAAAATAGTAATTGGTTTACCATATTAGGAGAGTATCCTTATGAAAACTCGTTGTGTCTAAAAAAGGGTCAAATTTTGGATTTATAGAATCATTGACAAAAATCCTTACCCTTTCATAGGTTTCATCCAAAATAATGGCTCCAGTTACAGGAACCTTAACCTTGTAAGAAGTGAAGTCCTTAAATATGTCATCTATATGGGCAACATAAGGTTTAAGAACATCACAGCTGTTAAACACTGCAATATATTAAGGAAAATAAGGATGTACTAATGAATGAAGGAGTACCAGGGGAATAACAAATAGATAAGCATGGATAAGGGGGTATGAGAGACTGAATGAAATAAACAATATGAGGTCATGTACAAAAAAACTTCAAGAGTAATATGAGAAATTATGCAAGTCCTACAAGAAATCCAGGAATAGAATGTTTTTGGTTTAGTGTGGTGACATATAAAAAACAAAAAGAGAAATTTTGACTCTGATAGCATTAATAGACTGCACAGGATACATAAGGAAGTGAATTCCTTCAAGTTAAATGACTTCAGCGATGGATTTTTCTCCACTGAGTTGTCCTCATAAAACCAATGAGCATACTCCACGAGAAATAAAATCCTCTCAAATGATTGCAGGTCTTCTTTTGGAACATTGAGAACAAACCGACTGCAAGGAAATTGGTAGAGAAAAAAATTCAGATCCATATCAATTGGAGTCAGAATAACAAAGATAAATTGTAAGCAACAGGAGGCAGAGAGGAAGAAATTGGTGATTTGATAATAGATCTTGTATTAACAAAATGAAATAGAGATATATAAATGAAAATCTTATTGCATTATAAATTACACAGTCCACATACTTTCAAAAATCAGCTTATAATCACTTATTCGACCTATGATTCATCACGACAAAGAGAGAAGAGAAGAGGAAGACAATAACTGAATAGGAAAAGAGAATGTATTCTTGCACACCTGCAGAGGTCGTCGAGCAGTTCTTGGGGAGGAAGACCGTTCTTCAGTGGAGCACTGGAGGACCGAGGGAGGCCAGACATGGCTTCCCTGTTTGATCCCTGTTTGATCCCTGTTTGATCCCTGTTTGGTTTCTGATAGTCACAAGCAAACCAAATGTAAATGTGAGTAAACCAGGCAATGCTCCAAGTTTCAAAATAGGAAAAGCGCCCTTAATTGAAGATACTAGTGATGGCTGATGGGCATTAGGCATACTTCATATTTGCCTTGGTAAAAAAGAATTGTTTGAAAAAATGCACTAACACCCTACAACAACACACAAAATCATGTTTACCATCTCTAGAAACACTCCCTCATGACATGTATGAAATTACTGGCAGTTATTTTTTTTTTTTGGGTATAAACCAATTAGCCTTTTCATGCATTCATCATACAATTATAGACCAAATTGAACAATTATAATACTGGAGATCAATTTTCGTAATGAGAAACAACATTTGTACTGCCCGGAGCCCTAGATTTCAGTACAATCACCTAAGTAAGCTAAGCCAAGTGAAGCTGATTTATACAACCAAGATTCAATCAATATCTTTATCATCAAATCGACTTGGCAAAATATATGCAATGGGAAGTCTCGTTTAATCACCTCAAAGCCACTCAACCTAGAATTCCCATCTCTCAGAATCGTAAGAAACTTCTACACCACCAGCCCAGTGCTTATGAAACGTCGACGTTACAGTGGTCGAGATCTCGCTCCAGTAAACGGACCCAAATCGAACAGAGAGGGATTAAGGGCATTCAAGGAAAAAAGATTATACCTTGCTCAGTTTCTTCGAGGGACTTCTGGTCTCAATTGTTCAGTTTCTGCGAGGGACTTGAAGAAGATTTCTGAAGCTGGAAACTGTGGGAGTGATAAAGCCCAAAAGACTACACTTTATTATGTCCCCATTTTTATTTTATTTTGCGTGTTAACTTTTTATTGTCTAATATTTTTGTAATTTTTAAAACCAAATTTATTCTTTAAAAATAGAAGAATCCACCTTCAACTTCCCTCCCTTCAAATTTCAATCATGGCCAGGGGCAGCAATGACAAATAAATGAATAAATAAAATTATTTTTTATTTGTATATTCTTCTATCATCATTATTTGTTTATAGTGAATCATCCCATTTTTATGATGGAAACTGTGTATTCTTTATCGACATAAAAAAATAAAATAAAAAGTTTATTCTTTACAATTAAAAGAAAAACTAAAAACATGATTTTATTGTAAGGCTGGCATATTATTCTTTACAGTTAATCGTGTTGGGTTGTAAACAAGTTATTCATGTTAAACCCAAACATCACCAATTCAATCTGATTAACAAATAGATTGCACTTGCCTGATTAATAAACAGATTATATTTGTCATGTAACGTTACGCATACAATAATCATGTCGTGTTCGTGTTGAAAATTGTTTATAACTTGATTGTCTTAGGTGGCTCATGACTCGGTTGGGTTCATAATCATCTTGAAAAGCTTGACATGTATGTAAACAAACTTGACATTCTTCTGTATTAACTTTGATCTGAAATAACTTAAAAAGCAATAGGTTCAGCAGAGTCATGTATGTAAAACTAATTATGGTGTGCAAAAGATATAATTCCATATGGAAAATCTATCATGCGTATACAAAAGATGATGAAACAGCCAAAAACCACCTTAAGAAATTCTGCCAAAAACCTAATGGGAAAAATCCCTTTGAACCTTCAATGACTTGACTTGGATGCCAACGTCCAGAAATTCAGAACAAATGATGATGAAACAGCAAACCAACTCAGAAAGGCCATAGCTGTAGATGCCTGATACCTTGTGCAACGATCACGTATACAAGAGTGAAAATCATTGCTGTCGAGGACTGAGATACCAGCAGATGCAGAAGCTGCGGCAAATGTGATTGTGGAACTGATCTGCAGTTAGGATTAAGAAAATGTAAGAAATGAGTTGATACAAAAATGCAAACAGCATGTGCCTATGCATTTGTCATTGGCTCAATAGTTCCTAAAGCCATAGCTATATGGCCCCTTCTGACCAGAGATACCATTTCAAGGCCGAAAGAAAGAACATGGAAATCATTTCCCTCTTACCTTTCCCAAACAAAGGGAGTTGACCCCATTAAATTTGTCATCCATTCGAAACTACGATATCAATTCTCAGAAGTAACGCTAGGTTTACACATGATAATTAGTTAGAAAGGCTATCAAATAGTATCCCTCTCTCACATTCAACGGACCTTTGAATCATACCATCAGAAATTTAGTTCTTCTACAAGGTGCCTCCCAGATGCACAACTAGTGACCTGAAAAACCATAATTGAACATCTATATCCATGCACAAAGACTTTTGATGCCTGGAAAATAACTTAACTAGTTCCATTCAATTTGATGCAGAAGCTGGTAAAGCCTGCATTTTAAAACGAAAAGTATATTTTGACTTTCTTCTATACTAGATAACACGACCATAGACGACTAAAAATAGTCCCTAATTTCCATTTGGATGCAAATAATTTCCATTATCCAATTCCAATAGGTATAGCATCGAATATAATTTGACAAAAAGTAGAGACAAGACAAGATTACAGTAGTTAGTATCAGAAAATTTCCATGGTTTCATAAGCCACTCAACCATGGCTTCCTCTCCTTTTCATAATAGAAGCTTAATTTGTTAAAACTCCAAAGGAACTGTTTCTTACCCCATCACCAACGGCAAACATGCTGACAACTTTGGGATTTCGCAATCTGCGCTTCACTAAAATGGCATATAAATCAACGAAGGCAAGAGAAAGGCTCCATAAGCATTGCCAGCTGACAGCATTAACAAAGTAGCTGAAACACCAAACGCCAACCATGGACATGTTATGATACGAAAACAGAGAACAGAGAATCAAGTGATTCCACTCCCCATTTAAAACTAAAACAGCATAATATTACTTCTCCAGGCATCATGAAGATATTTTCAGCGGCAGAAAAAAGTGTAATTAAAGTAACTGGTGGCTTCAGAAACATTAGACATAACAGAGAATTAATGTATACCAATTCCTCTTTTCTTTCTTTTCATGAATCAAAGCGTTTTGACAGGAGTTGTGGTGTGTTTGATTGAACTGTAAATCACCCTTCTCTCAAGAAAAAAGTTACCGACTTTAATATTTGTAAAAACGAACATAATGCATTAAATCCACAACAACAAGCAGTTTAGCATTTGGCAGAAATCCCACACTCCAAAAGCAGCAAACCAAAGAAGATCACAACAAACCCAATGAAGCAAAACAAGGAAAATCCATGGCAGGAGCAAAATCAATGCATCATACGACAGAAGCAGGAGAACCCAGTAAAAATAATAGAACCAGAGAGATAGATAGATACCGCAAGATGGTGTATGTGGAGGTTGCATGGGTGGAAGTCATGACGCAGCCGGCGACGAGTGCGAAGACGAACTGGCTGAGGCGCAAGGTCAGGCCTCCACGTGTCCCCGGCATGCCCGGTATGTCGTTCATTCTTCCCTGAGGCATCGGGTTTTGGGGCTCTCCATGGGTCTGCGGCGGTGGCGCTTCTACTGGGTGCACAGAAGGGCAAGTGGCGTTCACCATATTTTGCTTTTAATTGTTCAGTCTTCAGAGTAGCCAAAGCTCACTCCTTTACCGTTTCAGACAGGACGCAGAGACGACAGGGTTTACAAGCGTCCTCCTTTTTCTGCGTCTTGTTTTCTCTGCTTGCTTGTGGAAGGGTTTAAAGCTATTTGACAAATGAAAGAGAGTGAGTTTCTTTTCAATTGCTTTGGCTATAAAAGTGCTTTTTTTTTAGAGAAGCACATTTATGAATCAATTTCTAGAAATCACTTATATTTGTAATACCAATTTCAAAAAACATTAATAAAAGTGCTTATTCTGTAGAAGCAGTCCTAAAGAGGAAGTTCCTAACCTAGCAGTCTTATATATGGATATATTCAACATATCAATTCATATCCAGTTACCATTAAATTAAAAGTTTGTCCCTTTATAGACCTATACACGATTGAAATGTTGTCAATATCAATTATAGACCTACGCACTCAAGTTTGAATCTCCTCCCCATAAATTAGATCAATATAAAATTAATTACTTTTAATTGTATAAACAAACGTCCACTGATATGTAAGTTCATAAGGAATACATCAAAAAAAAATTTAAACAACACCCATCGAAGCCTATAGTATGTATAAAACTAGAGTGCTGCTAAACGAACCTTAAAATTAACTAAGTACACCCTAATACCAAAGCATTTATTGAATTACTAATTTACCCTAAAATAAAATGACTAAAAAGTATATATTGAATTGTGAAACAAATAATTTTAATAAGTACACTATATTCAACCTTCCCTATTTAAATGCTTGAAAATGAATCTTGAAATCAAGGTAAGATGATATGATATTTACCGAGCTTTTACAAATTCGCGCTCATCAATCCTCTCCTCTCCTCTCCTCTCTAGCCACATTAAGGAATGGTTTTTTTCTTTTGCTTCTCGTTTTTACGACTAATAGTCAACTTGCAGGAAGGATGCCTACTTATCAAGGATGCCTATTTCTATTATAAACTCATGGTATCAACGTGAAGGCTATATTAAGTCAATGGCTATAAACTCATGGTATAAACCCAGGGCATTGGGAATTGGGGCCGAGTGCCGCCCTTGGCTATACTCCTTCGTTTATAATGGATCTGGCAGATGCAATAATAGAAGTCGTACCACTGGCAAAAACCATGTCAACCCCAAAGACTGGCTCAGAAGAAGTTGATCACGACTCTGCGAGATATGCCATCAAAATTGTCTTTGGTTCCTTTTTGGCATTTATTTTGTTTTTTTTCACCAAAAATGATTAAGGCATTTGGGAACCACATGATTTAAGGAATATACAATATTTTACTAGTCTTAACTTATATATCTTCCTTCTAGTGTTGATGGGTTAATAAAGTCGATCTTCTGAGTTTCATCTCTCGGATAACAAAGAAGCTAAATATAGAAAACAAAATCAACTTATTAGATCAAGCCCATAACCTAGACATGGTAACCATTAACATGTAAATCCTCGACCTACAATCTCACCAACACAAAACCAGACAAAGCATTCCAAGCTAAACAGGACAGCAATCCCGACATCCTCCACCCTCAACTCCTGCATGTTCTTCCATAGTTGTTTAACAGAATCAACCTCGACGGCTTTGGTGGGTTAAGCAGCAAGTTTGTGATAAAGTATATTAGGGTGTTCCAGGGGTATCTTTGGTAGTTAAATAGGGTGTACTTAGTTAATTTTTACATTTTGATTAAAATATTAGGGTATGCTTAGATCATGGGGTGTACTCAGTTAATTTTAAAATTCGTTTAGCCACACTCTAAAACTATACAAAAAAATCATATCATTATCATCCAATCAAATTAACTTTACCTTGTAATAACTTTTTCTTTCTTTTGAGCAAGGAATTGCACGAGAAATAGGAGTTACTTTAAACCCAAAAAAAAATTAGTTCAATTAAGAGTTTCTTTTTTTAGCTCAAATATGCAACTGAGGAGATGAGTGCTCCATTCTCCCTATTCTTGATCACTCTTATAATAAAAAAATATTGATGATATATTTATTAATTCATAAATGGGTGAAGAGTAATTGAATTGATGAGGAGTTGGATTGGAAAGAAAAATATAGTTGAAAATCATAGAATACAAATCATAATCAAATTATGAAATTGATATCATAGTTCATATTTCACTAATTAAATACATCGAATTCGGATCTTATAAGGATTAAAATCCTGTCCACTTAAAGAATGTCACGTTCAATAAAAAAAGGATATCTGACTTTTAGATTTATACAGAGTACCGAGTAGAGTACAAAGTAAAGACTGCATTAAAAAGTTCCAATCACAAAAATTCTAGATATTTGGACGAGAGTTCACAATGCGACGGAGGCCCCAGAGCACGTCAGCAGCGACCACCAAACCAGAAGTGAGTGAAGAACCAATTGCCCCTTCATGGGTTGCACAGAGGCCTCAGAGATCACCCTTTGTTTGGCTCACCTTGTTCTTGGCCATCGCCTACGGCTCTTGGGGTGTTTTTCATTACCAGTTCGAGAGCCTGCCTGCGCCTCTGACAGCTGAGCAGGCAGGAAAGAGAGGCTTTTCTGAATTTTCTGCACTGGAACACGTCAAGGCCTTGACCCAATTGGGTCCTCACTCTGTTGGCTCTGATGCTCTTCATCTAGCTCTCCAGGTTCTTAGTTCTTATTGCCTCATGAATCCCATAATTATTGAATTATTGTGAAAAAAAATCAATCTTGGGTTTAACATGGGTTTTCACCACAGTATGTTTTGGCAGAAGCTGAGAAGATCAAGAAAACTGCTCACTGGGAGGTTGATGTCGAAGTGGACTCGTTCACTGCCAAATCAGGAGCAAATCGTATGGCTGATGGCTTGTTTAAGGGCAGAACACTTGTTTATTCGGATCTAAATCACATAATTATAAGAATTTTGCCAAAGTATGCACCGGAAGCAGTAGATAATGCCATTCTGGTATCTTCTCACATTGACACTGTCTTCTCAACGTATGCTCTCTTCATCTTATTGAATCTCAAATTACATTGCTTTTTTGGTTCTTCCGTATCAAAGTGATGAACTTTGTTGCTAGCTGAAATACCATGTTGGCAAATTGTGTGAATAAGAACTACATGGTTTGTTGGATTTTCAAGTCAATATAGGTTGTAAGTTTTAGGTTCAAGTCATGGCCTTTGAGCATACTTTCACTAGCTGAATTTGATGGCATACCCTTTAAGCTCCCACAATAACAAGTCTTAGAGTCTTTATTTGACACTTGGAGGAAATTACCATACACGTTTCAGGGGAGGGGCTGGAGATTGCAGTTCTTGTGTAGCTGTCATGTTGGAACTTGCTCGTGGAATTTCCCAGTGGGCTCATGGATTTAAGCATGCTGTTATATTTTTGTTTAATACTGGGGAGGAGGAGGGTCTAAATGGTGCTCATAGCTTTATAACTCAGGTAAATATGGACTCTCTCTCTCTCTCTCTCTCTCACACACACACACATCTTCAGCAGCCGAGCGGGGTTGTTCTATGCTATAGCCAAATACTTTATATGATGAGGTTATACAATCATTCTATTCCATTTTCTAGTGTAAGATGCCTAATGTTGTTTGATTTTGAAATTTAGTCATTTGCGAGACTTAAATCTCTCTTTGAATGATTAAAATTGATTATCTACTTGTATTCTAAGAAACACAGAAACAGACAAGCACACAGTGAAAAAGTTGTTTAGTTCATGCATCAGTTTCTAAGATACAGAAGATCTAAATTATAAAGTTCAGTAAGCATATATATATATATATATATATATATATTTTCAGTAAGCAGTTTTACTCTGTGTAAATACGTTGTATCTCTTACAAATTTCTTTCTGACTTTATTGGTGCAGCATCCATGGAGTAAATCGATTCGTCTGGCTATTGATTTGGAGGCCATGGGTATTGGAGGGAAGTCTGGCATATTTCAGGTAAGGTTTGTAATGAGAATTCACTTATTGTTGCAATTTTACATGTCCTATGAGATATGATTTATGTGCTTGATACTGTATATTCTAGGTAAATGACCTCCATAGAAGCTGTGTCAGGTGGGGCGTGTTAAGGTGTCAGATTTTTCTAGTTCCACAAACTGTAGGACATGATGAAATTGCAATTTTTTCTAGTTTCATGACATTATACATATAAAATTATATTATCACCGTGTCAAAGTTGGGTTCTCTTGTTGATTTGTGCTGTCCATGTATCTGAGAACCTAATAGAGAAAATAGGGACTTGTAACTTAAACTTGTTTTCCAATTTTGATGTCAGCAAGTGCCTTGGTTTTGGCAATTTAAACACAATTACCTATAACTGTGTTAGGCTAAGTCTAACATTTGTCATGCAGTGTAAATTTCAAAGTGCTTCTGCATCATGTTATGAAATTGATCAGATCGTTCACTTGTGGTTGTCCTATTACTAGGAGTTTATAGTGTACTCTACTTTCAAAGAAGTATTGTAAATGACTGATGTGATCTTTTCACTTTAAATCTATCTCTTATTCTTTTGAAGTGAGTCTACATATCAAAATGTGTTTAAGCTTAATTTTTCCCTTATGAATATTCCTTCATCTGATAGGCTGGTCCTGATCCTTGGCCTATCGAGACTTTTGCCGCAGTAGCAAAATACCCATCTGGCCAAATTATAGCACAGGTTTGTAATTATTTTTTTGATATTTTTGATATAGTTTTTATGTGTATGTACTTGGGAAAAATACTCAAATCTCAGTGACTTTAGTGCTGCAGGATATATTTTCTTCTGGAGCCATAAAATCTGCAACAGATTTCCAAGTATACAGAGAGGTTGCTGGTCTTTCAGGACTTGACTTCGCTTATGCTGATAATACTGCAGTATACCATACAAAGGTTATATTTATCTTCCCTTTTGCCCCTTTTTTTTTGGAATATCTAGAAAAGTTCTTTTTGCATTTCATATTTTAAAAAGGAGATCCCAAGTCTATTCTCATTAGCGGTGTGAGATTTACAGTAAGGAATTAGTACGTTAGTTAGTGCTTAGCCCACATGTCCTACATGTAGCTTTATCTGCTTTTGAAGACGGGAATGGCTTTAAGATTCCATCTATTTAATTATTAATGTTAACCAAGAGTATTGCTTGCAAAAATGGACACCAACTAACAACCTGCCAATGGGGAAAGGCACTGGGACTTAAGTTGGTTTTCCAAGTTGAATTCATTGTTTACTCTCTATATTTTTCTTATCTTGCAGAATGACAAATTAGAGCTTCTTAAATTAGGATCTCTTCAACATCTTGGAGAAAATATGCTTGCTTTTCTGCTTAAGATTGCTGCATCCTCTCATCTTCCAAAAGTCAATACAATGGTAGAAGAGGATAATAAGGGCCAGAGCACTGCTGTATATTTTGACATTTTGGTATTTTCTTTACTTTCTTTTTCTTTGTTTCTTTGCTTAGATGGTTTTGGTTTTAATCATGCGGCCTCCTGAGACCTTAATAGTTCAAGTTTGCAATGTGATTCTAACCCTTGTGGAAATCCCAGGGGACATATATGGTCGTCTATCGTCAACACTTTGCAAATATGCTTCATAAGTCAGTGATAGCTCAATCACTTCTAATATGGACTACATCATTGCTTATGGGTGGTTATCCTGCTGCAATTTCATTGGCCTTGTCATGTTTTAGTGTTATCCTTATGTGGATATTCGCATTGAGTTTCTCTGTTCTTGCTGCTTTCATTATACCCCTAATATCTTCTTCACCAGTGCCATATGTTGCAAACCCATGGCTGGTAGTCGGGTTATTTGCCGCTCCTGCTCTTCTTGGGGCATTAACGGGTCAATATTTGGGTTATCTTATTCTGCACACGCATTTGTCAAATGTATACGCCAAGAAGAAACAGATCTCACCTGTTATTCAAGCAGATTTGATTAAATCAGAGGCTGAAAGATGGCTCTATAAATCTGGATCTCTTCAGTGGCTCATTCTCCTCATTTTGGGAACCTATTACAAAATTGGATCGTCTTATTTGGCTCTTTTTTGGTTGGTTCCACCAGCATTCGCATGTGAGTTTATATTTACTGCCATCTTAGCTTGACCCATATTCGATTTAACCATGCGTTTGATGAGAAGCATGTTTGTTAGTTTAGGATTTGCTTTCAACTAATTTTGTACACTACTATTCAGATGGCTTTCTTGAAGCGACTCTAACTCCAGCTCGATTTCCCAAGCCACTCAAACTTGCAACCCTGCTGATAGGATTAGCTGTACCAATATTAATTTCTGCTGGCGGATTTATTCGGCTGGCTGGAACAATAATTGGGACTGTGGTTCGACTTGACAGGTAAATTTTGTGGTTCTCTAGTAATCCACAAGCATGGATTAACTCTTAATAAGTGGATTTATTTGAAGTCGCGTTTGTGAGAAGTATTTTTGGACAATTTTACAGTCCATGCCACTTGAGATATATTTGGAAATGAAACAATGGTTTTTATGAAAGCCTGCAGAGCAACAACTCATGGTGTCATTGGATACCTTGTGTATGATGGAATTCCATGGTCTGTTTGTGTAAGCAATTCTTTGTAGGTTTTTGCACATTCAGCCAGATGACATCCTCAGTTTTTGTTTTTCCTCAGTGTGATCTCTCCATACCAACTTTGAAAATTGAAGTGTTTTTGCTTAATTCTCCATACATTTGGAAAAGTAACTATGTACCTTCCTTGTATTTGCTTACAGGAACCCGGGTGGCACTCCTGACTGGCTGGGGAATGTTATAGTTGCCACTTATGTTGCTGCTGTCATGTGCCTGACTTTGGTCTATCTCCTTTCATATATTCATCTTCCAGGTTTCTGTTTATCTCCTTTTACATTGTAGTTGAACTCTCAAGTGGATGGTGCAATATATTGAATTAAATAAGTTGGGTTTTTACAGTTTAGTTGAGCTCTCGAGTCGAGTGTATAGTGCCATATATATTGAATTACTTTTGAGGAGATAAATTCACCGCCTTGTTTTATATTTAAATTAACTAGTATGATTCGTCGCAATTTCTCTCTAGGTGCCAAGAAATCGATTGTACTTTCAACTTGCTTGCTGTTTGGCCTCTCACTTGCTGTTGTATCATTGGGTATCGTTCCACCATTTACCAAAGACACATCCAGAGCTGTAAATGTATGTTTCTGTTACTACCTACTCATAAAGCTGTTTTCCTCTGTGTAACTCATGATGTTAATGAAAAAATCTAGTTGGGATTATTTTGTTTGTCCTGTTAATTGGATATGACTCCGTTCTAACAAAGTCTCTGTCTCTTTTTAAAAGAAATTAAGATTCATAGATTAAAATATATTGAGCTGAGGCTTTCATCTTCAGTGTTTGTAGAAAACGAAAAATGCATGACCAATGCAAATAAACTTTTCACAATGGGTTTCAATAACAGAAAACTAAAACAGTTGTCGGGTAAGGCAATATACTTTTCAATGAACACAGTTTTAGTGCTTTTGGTTGTTTTCAGTGAAGACAATTTTAGTGGTTTTGATTGTTATTAAATAGCTCCTACATTGAAAAATGAGGTCGATACTGCTGGTTTGATTACACAACATATTTTAGGGTGTTGGAGCCTTCCAGCGATTACCCTGGGTATGTGAGTTTATGTCTGTGCAACCATTCATTTATAAATACTTTATTGTTCTCAGGTTGTTCATGTTGTAGATATGACAAGAAGCTTCGATGGAAAACAAGATCCTAGATCCTATGTGTCTCTGTTTTCTTCTACTCCTGGGAAATTGACAAAGGAGGTTGAGCAAATCAATGAAGGTTTCAGATGCGGTAGAGATAAAGTTGTTGATCTGGTAACATTTTCAGTCAAATACGGTTGCTGGACCTTTGATGACACTGACAGTGGGTGGAGTGAATCAGATGTTCCCACAATGCACGTCGATAGCGATACTCGTGGTGATGAAAGAATAACACGAGTTTTAATTGATACAAAAGGTTCAACACGATGGACTCTTGCTATCAATGCTGATGAAATAGAAGATTTCACATTCAAAGGTACATTATTTTATCTCGCAATTTTGAGACTCGTGTTTGTAATGGAGTGCTAAGCTGAAGAGTTCAGTTTTGTACCACTTAGTTTTATACTTCCCTCTTGTTTTAGCTCTCTCAAGTTTTTATAACCGCAGATGCAGGAAGCTCAGAGGAATTGGTTTTGGTTGGTGACATGTGCAGTGTAGATGGGTGGCACATTATGCAGTTTTCCGGGGGAAAGAATGCACCGACGATGTTCGATCTGACACTCTTCTGGATGAAAAACCCTACTCGGTTGGATCACAAGGTGGAAGGGAAGAGAGAGGAGGGCACTCCCCTTCTAAAGTTAAGAACTGATATGGACATAGTAACGCCTAAAGTTGACAGAGTTCTTTCTAAGCTTCCTCCTTGGTGTTCACAGTTCGGCAAGTCCACGTCCCCCCACACCTTTGCATTTTTAAGTAACCTTCCTGTTAACTTTTAGGTCCGTTGAATCTCATACCCCAGGAATGTAACTTACAACTTTTACTTCCAATTACGTAGGAACTTTCAGATTCAAGTAAAGAAAATGAATTATGTATAAGCAGCCACACAAGTTTATTTATTTATTGAATGGTATAGGTTTTTAATATAGTTGGTGGCGAAGAGATGGTGAATTCCATGATGCTCCAAATACACAATCATCCAAATGCCATTAAAACCTTTTATTTCCGTACAGACATTGCCTGTTTTTTATTTCGTATGAGTACAGACATTACCCGTTCGCATCCAAGATTTGCATGTGAAACCTACAAACATTCTTATGACACAACAATATCTTCACCATTTACAGGCTTAAACTTACACCACAGAACATGGATTTTATCCGTTTAACAAAACAAAGTTAAAAAAACATGGGTTTTAACTTTTACCCGACGCGAATGAAAGAAGCAGAGATTCATTTCCCACACAGCACACGTGTGGAGGGAAGGTTAGGTAACTTGGTTAATTTTGGCGTCAACAACACAGTGGTGCCCCTCAGAAGTCTCATAACCGAAACATACACCCAAACAGAAAGAATCTGCGATTGCTGATAGGGAGAGAGACACAAAACAGAGTCCAAGAAATGCGGACCATACCGTTGGGAATATCAGTATCCCCAACCTCCATAAACAGCTCCTCCAAAACCACCTTTCTCAACAGTCTCAACCTCAAGAGACCAAACCCACTTCCCCTTACTTCTACTTCTTCTAGGGTTCCTGCCTCCACCTCCACTGAGGATGATGATTTCTCTTTTCTTTCCTTCTCCAAATCTGGTGGGTACACCCAAGTTTCTGTCTTTTGTTACATATATACTTCGATTTCTATGTAAGACTATGTTGATTTATGTGAACTATTGTTGGCAGTTTTGGGTTTTTTGTCAATTTTAGTTGTGTTGACTTCTCTATTGGGTTGCAGACACTTGTACATATGAATGATCATCAGGATTGGATTTCATTTTCCTTTTGGTTTTTTCTGATTTCTTTTGGCAATTTTACAGAGGTCTAGAGCAGGGGAAAAAAGATGATATTTTTATAGTAAGAAATAGTGGAGCTGAATGATTGTCCATTATATACTCAAATTGGAATTTGGGTATTGAAATCCCATTTGGATAATTCTTGTTTTTGCTTGTAGGAGTATGCAGAGCCAGTCAAGTGGCTGATTTATTTCCAACAGTGTCTCCCGAGATTGTTGTCCGGGAGGCCAGGTTAGAGGACTGTTGGGAGGTGGCTGAGACTCACTGCAGCTCTTTCTTCCCTGAATATTCTTTCCCTTTAGATTTTGTTCTGCGGATTGACCGGCTGGTAGCGATGCTAGCCGGATTTTCTTTGCCAAATGGTTGCAAAAGGACTTGTCTCGTTGCTGTCATTGGCAACTCTATTGATGAGACTTTTCTCTTTGGGAGTGAAGATTTCAAGATTGGTGGTTTTGATGGGAAGTTCAGTCTCAATAGGAGGTATGTGGCTGGGATATTGACAGTGGATACTGTTGCTGATTTTCTTCCTAGAAAAGGACCTCTCCGGCAAAGAAGGTGAGTTCATTGCACTTTCAAGAGGTTTTCTTTTTAAAGCTCGTGCAGCCATCTAGTTTGCAAGTACAGTTAAATTTTGGATGAAGCTGATGAAAATACATTTTTCTTGACCTTGTGTAACTTTATGTAGAACACCAGATGTTTATCATCTTATTATGTGAAATAACTTTCCGACCTGTAATATCAAACAATTATTAGTTAAAAGCGGAAAGAACTAGATCTTCAACTTTTGGTTAGATTATTCATCTGTTGTGTTCTTCACTGATTAGTCTGGAACCACAGATAGCTTTCGTCAGCTGGACGAAGTCGAGTCCTTGCATTGGAATTATTTGGTTCCCCATACTTCTTTTTACCTCCAATACTAGTCCCCTCCCATTACTGAGGTTCAAACCCAGGATCTTCAGCTTGCCCGTTTTATGGATGTTACTTACTGTCAAACAGAGGCTCTACTCCAAAATATTCACTGGAGACTAGAGTAGTCTTATAAATATAAATATACGAATATTTTTATGCTTGGTCTTCCATTTTGCTTTTCCTTTTGATTTATGGTGCTTATGCTATATTGTAATGTTATGTGTACTAATAAGATAGTTTGATATGGGCTTATATTATGCATTTAGGATGCGTTAAGAATATTAGAGAGAAATAAAAAAAGGTATCAGGATGGGATGGCAAGCCAAGCTCTACCTCACCCCCACCCTGTTTCCTTCCATATCCATTTATGTATGGCTGTGTCCGGTTCACTTCAGTGCATCAGCTGCTGCAGCTCAAATATTCTTTTCTTGCGTGTGTATACGTGTGGAGTTATACATCCAAACTGTCAGAAAGCTAGTTGCTGAGAGTGGGAAGAACTCTCTGATTCATTGGAAGTGATAAGGGGGTGGCTAAACCCAATTGCCTAGAACAACCATCGGCCTCAAAAATAAAAGAGAGAGCTAAGCATGTTATTCAGTTGTAACATATGAGAGTTCAATTTTAGTTGAAAACAACCCCTTTACTGGTTGACTTTAAATGTTCATTATAAAGTATGGCAAGTTTCATTTGAGGTTAATATATATTTCTGAAATTAGGTTCATCTAGCATATATTCTTATTTACACAAATGTATGGATGTTTTAATTGCAGGACTGGAGTTGCATACGTATCAAATGTTGCTGTCCGGGAGAGATTTCGACGAAGAGGTATAGCTAAGAGGCTAATAGCAAAGGCAGAAGCTCAAGCCAGGAGCTGGGATTGCCGTGCCATTGCGTTGCACTGTGACTTAAACAATCCTGGGGCTATAAAGCTGTACAAAGGCCAGGGTTTCAGAAGCATTAAGGTGCCTGAAGGAGCAAACTGGCCCCAGCCGAAGACCGCTCCAGATGTTAGGTTCAACTTCATGATGAAGCTTCTGAACACCAAGGCTGCTACTTAGACTATTTTAGGAGCATGCGAAGAACTAATAAGACAGACAAGAAAGACACGCCGAAGGGAAAAACAAAAAAGAAATAGGATGTTTGAGCATAGGTTGTACATAAATTATGTAAGCAAAAGGGTGTGGCTAAAAGTCTAGTGGCATTGCACTCTGTCAATGACTCTATTTTTTGTTGGATCAACGCTAATTTGTAAAGCCCTGGCAACAAGTTCAGGAAGATGATATTTGGCGGGGCAGGTATGGGCACCCCTGCCCCCATTCTTCATATGTTGTGAAGGTATACTTCTACCACCCACCAAAATCATCTGTTACACGACTGGTTTTATATGCACCAAATGATCTTCCTAACGATGGCCACAAAATTGCAGTTTTTCTTATAATAAAAAATAATTAGTTTTCTTCAACCCTCGGCAACGGGGGACAAGATTTCAAACCAAAACCAAGGACAACTATGGTACCAAAAAGAGGTTTCTAGTACTCATGATGCAGGATGCATAGGACCTAAATTTATTAGTTTCCTAGATTCTCTAATTTTTCCAGATTTCCAGATTTCTAGTTTTAAGTTTCCTATTTTATTTGGGTTATGATTTCTGTTTAAGCAAGGGATTTTTATCCTTCTCTTAAAACTATGTGATTTCTGTTCTTCCTTCTTGGTTATCTTATTTCGGTCCTTTCTTTCATCCCTTCGATCTATATTTTCATCTCCTCAACCTCCGATATTCTTCTTGTTCTACTGTTCTGCCCTTTCTTTCGTCTTTCGATCTATATTTTCGTCTCCTCAATCTCTTATATTCTTCTATGTTCTAATGTTTGAGTGCTTAATCTAACACCTAGGGCTGTACTACATCAACTCAAAATCTGAAAAGTAGAGAATAAAGGAAAAAGAGGCCATGATCACTAAACATAGAGTAATGTCTCAAGGCTCGTATTGAAACCAAATCAAAATTGCAACTTATTACCATGGACAAGCAGATAGAAAATGTCACTAGATGCCACTTAGAATTCCACTTTATTTACGTGTTTATAACTCAAAACCTCAAAGGTAAACTCAATTTTTGTACAGTGGGCTCTAGTACCATTCGTGGACAAATGTCTTCAAGATCCTGTGGTGCCTAACAAGTAACAACCAATGCCAAAGTTGCAGAACGCCCGAACAAAAGGAAGTACATCTCAAGCCATGAAGATGCCGAAGGATTTCCAACTTGAATACACCTAAGGTTTACGATGCCTGGACAAATTTGTCTAAAGCAGATGTATCCAAAGCTGAGAACTCCTTCAAAGCAGCACGCACAACATTTCCAAGTAACACAGCGTCATTGTTGCTTGGTGCCTGCAGTGTAAAAATTGTATTAGTTGCAGTCCATTTAGAACTGATTGCAAGTGATGAGTTATGCCTACCTCTATGTTGAGGGGAAGTACAGGATCATGAAGTGAGAGTCTAAGAAGAAACCACCCACCATAGCCAGAAACTCGGACCTGTTTCCAAGAGTAAGTTGGGGGAGCATGAGTGAAATATACCAAGTACTAACCAAAATGGAAACAGACGCAATAAAGTCAACGTTAACCATAAAGAAACTTACCCCTTCATAGTTAACAGGTGCTTTTTGAAGCTTTGGATCTGAGTCAATATAGTTCTCCAAATGTTTCAATACTGCTTCTCCATAGTCTCGGAAAGATCTAGAAGCATCAATTTATCAGCAATTACAAAGCAAATACCCAAGCACATAGATGCACAGAACAAACTCTTAAAAGAGTCTCATATTTAGTAGCATACCCTCCTTTAAGATCTTGATGACTTTGATTAATCTTTAATCTCAATTCCACTGAAAGAGCTGGTTCCTGAAGACCTTCTAAAAGACCAGTCAAAACTTTGCTGCCACCAGTCAGCCCTGAAGCTCGGGCTGAAGCAATTTTATTTAAAATTTTGACCTGCACATAATGCCATAGAGGGTAAATTCAAACAGCAGGAGCAGTAGCAACAAATCCCACCAGAAAGACAAAGATTTATGTGCAAATTTCATAGATCACGGGATTGTATGTCAATCAATCCAACATGTAAAGGAGGCCCTACTATAGTGTTACATTAATTGCCTACCATGAGGTATGCACCATCATCAAGCCAATGGTTTTCCTTGAGAGCTCCATGGCCACTAGTCTCAATAGCCAGATGAGATTCCTCACCGACAGAGTTCTGTAATCAATATCTACTTCAGTTGAAAAGCCAAAAAGAATACACAATAAGACAAGAATTATTTACACAACGCTCACTAGAATGAAAGGTGGGATATAACAGTTTATTTTACATGCACGTTTAGAATAAAGAAAACAATATGCATAAGGAAAACACTACGCAAAGATCAAAAGGAACAGAAACAAAATAAAAAATGAATATTTGAAAGAACATGTCTAGGGGTTGGATGCAAGGTCTTCTTCTATTCCTTATTCGTTTTTATAAATCATAAATGGTGTGAACAAGATAACTAGACACTCTTTCTCACCAAATGAATAGCTTCATCAATGACATTCTTGTAGCCTCTTTTGAAACGATGGTGCTTCCCCCCTACAAGAAATTGCTAATTATCAGTCATTCAATACAATAAGAGAAGTATACCATTTTCAGTTTTCCTCATACCAAGTTTCTTCTCTATAAATGTGGTAAGACCATCTGAAGTCACACTATCTGTAACAATAGTTGTTCCAGGATGCTAGGAAGAAAAAAAAGAAGAAGTCATAAATAGAGGAAATAGATAAAATGTCATATTGAAATACACGAGCCTTGATGAAAATAAGAAGACAAATCTTACTTCCTCAAGAACAATGGCAGACATTAAGGCAATGAGACGATTACGATTGAACTCAAGGCCGGTTGAATCCACAGCAGCAGATCTAAAAGAAACACTTATCAGAAAGAGGCAACCAAATAGAGTAAAAATGTTTTATGGGTCAGTAGAAACTTACCTATCGACGTCTGTATCAAATATGATCCCCAAATCAGCCTTGTTATCAAGGACTGCTTGGGTGATAGCTTTCATTGCAGTTTTGTCCTCTGGGTTTGGAATATGATTTGGGAACATACCTGAACCAAGAACAAACTTTAAAATAAAAATAAAAAATCCGATCCCTGAATAAACAACTTAAATATCCCAGCGTTCAATAATCAATATTACCATCTGGCTCCAAGAACTGACTACCAGAAGTGACTGCCCCAAGAGGTTCAAGCACTTTTGCCTGATATCATTGAAATAATAAACTTGATCAACTTGATAGAGAGTTAGCTCCCTTTTACCATGGTAGCCATATAATTGGCTACAGTAGAGTGTTACAGCCATGAAGTAAAAAAAACAATATCCAAAATAAGAAAACTTACAGCAAAAAATCCTCCTGCTCCATTCCCTGCATCAACTACAATATGGAACCCTTCCAGTGGCTTCTCTGAGATTATATAACAGCACAAAACAATTGAAAGGACAGTCTTTTAAATGAAAGGGCAATGAAAGTGGTGATCACAGAAAATTAAATGGAAGAATCCTAATAAAATATTAATAGTAACAAAATTTCTATAGATGCAGGAGCTAAGGGTGTTGGATACTGAACAAACAAGTCAAGTATAACCAACATCACACTTCATGTTAGGGATGACGTGATCATCTGCAAAATATTTCTACCAAAATCACGATTTCATAGACTTGGTACCTATATTTCCTGCAGCTTTGCGAACTGCCTTTACAAGATCAGATGTATATACATTCATGTAATCAACTCTCTTTACGGATTCAAGTGCTTTTCCTTTTGAACTCGTCAACCCTTCTGCTGTAAATTTATTATATATATCTGCAGCACGCTCTAAGATGTTTTTAATGTCAGCTTTCCCGAGTCCTCCAGCATTTGTGAAAAATTTGAACCCATTCCTGTTGTAAGGCAAATGACTTGCTGTTGGAACAATACAATATATTAGACTTTACATCAGGGGAAGCCAAACTTATAGAAAAGAAAAAATATAATCTCCAAAAGTATGCCAGAACTTGCTCCTGCGATATCTCATTATGGAGAAACAATAAGACCAGAACTCTAAGTGGCATGATATCACATAGTTTGCACATGAACATGTGTACCGTACCTGTTATCATAATAGATCCATCGACAGGACATAAGAAAGCATCATCTTCAGTTACTGTGCTATTAAACATTGCTGGTGTGGATGCCAGTCTACATAATGAAAAACAGTTTTGATCAATATCCAGAGCAATCAACACTTAACTGGTCATACATAGGCCATCTTCATGCAACATGACTTCCAATCCAAATAGTCATTACCTTTGCAGATGCAACAGAGTTTATCAACAAAATAAAATCATAGAAATCCATCACCTACCCATATTGAACAACATCCAGACCGGCACCAGCAATTCCTCGTGAAATTGCATCCTGGAAAATAATTTATCAAATTGACCCAAATTGTCAATACTTAAATAAAAGTAGTTATCAGTAAGAATTTCCAGATATGTTTTTGAATTATTTAGTGTGGAACTTTTCAATGCATTATCTTTAACACATAGGGGCCAGTAAAGTATCTTTCCAAAAGTCTAATTCTGTTCAATTTCGTACAACACTGAAAGTTATCAGAAACTAAATATGAGACAGGTTACTAATCCAAAAAATCTAAGCAGTACACCCATTTTGACCTAAACAGGACAACTATGCTCGATGAACATAACAAACAAGATATTTTTACTTTCATATGGGTCCTCTTCTAATGAACCGGCAATTTCAAGTTCCCAACATCTATTTTCTCTTTGTTTTTCCAATTTGAACAATAGTTGTCGTGTTTAAGTTTACAAATATATTGCTAAAATCTTATCCAAATGAAGCACTGAAAAGACACTTGGTAAAACATATACTCAAGAAAGTGCGTAACACATAAAGCATATTTTACTTATCAGTCCAAAACTTAATAACTAGAAATATAAAACATAAGACAAACTCCAATATAATGTCAAATT